TCCATTCAAGCAGAGGATATCACCACCTTGACCTAGCGCGCATGTCATACGCGAACTGCCGACTGGCAGTTTTCAAATATTCGCTAATCTGCGCACACTCGATCTATCCGGCAATTCGTTGGCCGTCATTAGCGCAGACATATTCATGGGCTTAGATCAATCACTTAATGAATTGAAGCTTTCACAGAACCGCATTACAGGCTTGGGCGCAACACCGCTTGCCTTAACCGAACTGCGCAGTCTCGATCTGAGCGGTAATAACCTCGCTGACCTGCCACGCAATATCTTTCAGGGTTTAGAGAACTTACAGTATCTTAATCTCAGCGGTAATCATCATTTATCGCCATTGCCGGCCGCGCTTATACGACCACTTTCTCATCTGCAAGTTATCGATTTGAGCAACTGTGCGCTCAAGCAAATGTCGGGTGATCTGTTTGCCACACTGCAAGATCTAAAGCACATCTATCTGCACGACAATAATTTACAAGAAATTAACGATGGTAGTTTTGTCGATCTTTGGAATATTACATCAATCGATTTGTCAAATAATCAAATCACTTCTATCAGACCCGGCGCTTTCGTGAATGTGATGCACATCAAGCGACTCATTCTGCGCGACAACCAGTTGTCAGCTTTTAAAGGTGAATTCTCAACACCGGCACTGGTTTGGAGGAACTCGACATTTCGAATAATTATCTCACCTATCTTTCCCTTCTTCATTCCGCATTCATCCGCGCTTGCGTGAAATCAAAGCAGCCAATAAAATTCAGTTTCTCCCTGCCGAATCCATTTCGACGCTGCAATATCTGGAGTATGTGACCTGTCACACAACCAACTCAAATCGATAGAGGAGTTGGATTTCGCGCGTCTGCCGAGACTGCGAGCGCTGCTTGTCGCTACAATCAACTGGACATGCTCAGCGAGATGCTTTCCACAACTCGACTCAGCTGCAAATTGTCGATTTGTCTTCAACAATTTGGATCGTATCGGTGAACGCACATTTGAAGGTTTAGTGCGTCTGGAGATGCTTAATCTCGAGGGCAATCAGTTGACTGAACTTTCTGATTTAATATTTGAGCGTTCGAAATTGCAAATGCTCGAAAATATAAACTTGGCTAAGAACAAATTCGATTATGCGCCACTTAATGCGCTGCAACGTCAATATTTCTTCGTCTCTTCAGTTAATTTGAGCCAAAATAAAATACGAGCTATTCCTGCTGACGACAGTATTATGGTAAATATCAAGGATCTTGACTTGTCGTACAACCCTTTAAGCGAGGGTGCCGTTCGCAACATACTCAACGAGCCAAAAACTGTGCGCTCACTCAACTTAGCCGGCACTAGTATTGCTCATCTTGAGCCATTGGAGACGCCTTTCTTGCAATATTTGAATCTATCGCATAATAACCTCAAAACCATCCATGCTGAAATCTTTCAACGCACAACACTACTTGAAACGTTGGATCTGTCAGATAATGACTTAGAGAGCTTAAACGAACTGGCAGATGCCTGGCCAAAACTGCAGTCACTACATACTTTGGATCTTTCGAATAACAGCTTTGAGGTTATCTCACAAGATAATTTCGAAAACTTAGACATGCTTCGTGTGTTGCGACTCAAAAGTTTGACGCAAGTTAATCGCATCGAGAAGAATGCTTTTAAACATATGCCAAATTTAGAGAAACTCGAGGCATATGATTTACCTTTGCTGGGCTACCTCGACGTTCAAGGAATACTCGAGCTATTACCTGGGCTTGAGATATCGACTTAGAAATAAAAGATTCAACTATAGGCACCGAACAAATACAACCCGCTAAGCATCCAAGACTTAAAACAATCGGTATACGCGGAGATCGTCTAAAGACTATCTCCTCTGGCACGTTAGCTGGCTTAAAAGCAGTGACCTCACCATTAAACTGCAAAACACATCTCTTACAACGCTGCCACCAGCCTTATGTTCCCTGTGCCACGCCTTCACACCAAACCTCGACATTACTGGCTCCAAAGTTACCGTATTGGTGCCACAATTCCTTACTGCACTCGAAGATCGCCGCTCCAGTTTACAACTAAAAGACTTGCCACAAATCCCATACACTGTGACTGTAATGCACGTGCGCTACGCCGCTGGTTACCCAACTACATATGACTGATGTAGAGTGTCAATCGCCTGCCTTCCTGGAGGGTAAGAAGCTCATCGAAGTCGGCGATGACGAATTGACGTGTGATCCACGACGCATGACGTCCACAACGGCGCGCAGCACCTCACAATATATGTTGAAATCATCGTCGCGTCTGGTAACACGCCCCACCACCACCACCACCGAGGAACCAATGATCATCTGGAGCTTGGAGCCCACACAAGCGCCACCGATGAAAATCAAAACCAAAGCACCACTGATGAAGGCGCCCATTATGAGTAACGACGATACACTTATTATTGGTATAGTTGGGTGTGGGTCTTCATAGCCATACTTATCATCATCATCTGCATAGTGCGGTTACGCATGAGCAACGTGGAATATCACAATGGACCGGCTATGATCGGTATACCGCCAATGCCAATGGGTCCGGGTAGTGTGCCAATAAATTTCAAGGGTGCACCTACGGCACTGTACGCTGTTCCACCATACGCTACACAAAGTTATGCTACTCTGCCACATAAAGCACCGTCCATACACCAGTCTACACAGAATCTGTCGCAACGCGCCGCCGCACAAAATGGACAGAACTCATACTCGACTATGTCGCGCATGTCGTACTTTGGTGGCACGCAGCAACAAGCCTCACCGCAGTCTAATGGCCAACAGCCGTACATTATCTATTCAGATGACAAAGTTTATAGATAAGGTTCTAAAGGGTCAATATGGCGGTGCAAGCAATATAACTTGGTGTTCAATCAGTGCTGGGTGGTCATACCGCCGAAAGCATATTACATACAATATTTATATATATTAAATTATAATACTATATATAAACTTTCAGTCAGTTGTGTAACATTTACGCAACGTGTTTATAATATTTCGTTTAATTATTTTTTATTTTATTTTTCATTACAATTTTTATTTATTTTTTTTAATTTTTCTTATACAAAGCTAACTTTAACATTTAAGCGTGGGCAAGTTTTAAGCTTGTCACCTAGCGTTTAAAATATTATTATTATTATCATCGTAGTCTTAAGGAGGAATATTGGACCCAGTTTACCGTATCTAACAGTAATAAATGCAATTCGGTTCTTTGTCTATTATTTATAGTCAATTTAAAGCACACATTTTAATTTAATAGCGTATACCGGGTGGTACATTTACTTGATGGATATTTCTTGTTTACAAATTTAAACAAAATTGATTTTTTCATTGTTTAAGAATCAATATTGAAGTAACTTATTTATGTGGCTGCCTTGAAAGCGATTAAAGCAGTACACTTTGTCTTCCAAGATATAATATTAATTTAGTACTGGCGTTTGTTATTACTTAAGCGTAACAATTGTCACTTTCAAAACACAATAGCTGACTAAGGCAAATACACGTTATGGACCACCCTATACACTTATATTTTATTATTCGAGACTAAATAAATATATGTATGACATTACACCGTTATAGCGAATATTATAATAGCTCTCAAAGTGAAATAAAATAAATATAGTTTTTAGTATTCGTTAAGGGTTTCTGATGTGTAATATTTAAATCCGTTGATTCTATTGTTTAAAGAGCTGCGTAAAAATATTATACAATTGTAAATAGTTCAAGGCTGCTATATTGAGCAGTATACGTTAATTTGTGAAACTTACAGTAAAATCCCTCTTTTCTAGCGAGATTGTAAAACTTCAAAGTGAATTAATATTTCGTATAAGTAAATTAAATATGAAATATCTTAGATTAAGTGATCACTGTATAGTAAATAACGAAAATTTTAAATAAATAACAATTAAAAAAATACCAAAATTAGAATTTTAATATTTGTTATATAATATTAACTGTGGTTTACTGTATAGAAATTATTGGCTTTTTCAACTACGACATTTTAAAGAGCTACTTCTTTTTTTTCTGATGCCAATCTTGAAGTTATTAAAAGAAACTGAAGAGTCCTTCATGTCTTAATATAAGGTTTAGTAAAAAGAAATCCATTATTTTTCCGGTAGATGGTTTTAGTAATCTGCATCTCGCGTTATATAAGTTCGATTGGGTCAATGTGGCATTAAAGAGACAAGTTTTCGTACTAAAAATTATTCTCAGACAGTTTTGCGGTTGCTTTAGTAAATATTGTTTGAGCCCCGTCAAGCATGGCCACCAGCAAAGAGCCATATTTTTTCAGTTTTTCTTCAATAAATGCGAAAACGCCAGGGAAAGAAAAGGCGGTGACAACGCCAGACCACACACATCGATAGTGACTCGCCAGAAGCTCCGAGAGCTTGGTTTCAAGGTTCTTATGCATCCATCTTATAGTGCGGACGTGACCGGCACCACCCGTTCTTGTCTATGGCGAATAATTTTGATGGTGAAAAATTTACCTCAAGAGAGGCTTGTAAAAATTGCCCGTCCCAGTTTTTTCGTCAATAAGAACGATATGAGAGTGGCAGAAAACAACTACCTTCAAAATAACAACAACAAACGGTGCTTATTTGACCTCAATCGTACATGTTTTTTGCTACGAGTTTAGCAGTGACATGTTTCATACCCTAAACATTAACCAAAATGTGTTCAGTGGATCTATAACAGATGTTGAGGCCCTGTGCTAGCTCTCTGATACCAACACGATAATTTTCAAGCACTGTTTCTTCAACTTTTTCAAGGTTATCATCATTAACAGAGGTGGATGGACGACTTGCCTGAGGTAAGTTTTCGATGACTTCACAATCTTCACTGAATACTTTGTGCCACTCAAATACTTGTATTCGTGATAAAGTAGCTCAGAAACACACACTAATTGACACATGGAGATCAAAATTAACACGAACATATAAAAAAGGTTGTACGAAACCAGGAAAACGCAGTTTAAATAAATCCGTCCGGATCAAATTTGATCAGATGGTATAATTGCATGTTCTTCTTTTGCTATGTACCGAATAAAAGCTATTTAATAATTGAAGACAATGAAACAACTTCATTTGACTTCTTGAATTATAATTTATTTATAGAATAAAAATCGACATATTTTACAAAATTTTGCATTACTTAAGTTTGCTTATTTATTTTTTCTTTTGTTTGATAACAATTTTGTAAAAAAGTTTTTCTTTTCAATGAACTTTTCTATTAAACAACAGTCTTTTTTTATTTGATGCAAATCCCTTATATATTTACGTACAGTGTGGCTGGGTATGTAAATGGATAAGGATGGCAATAACAAGAACACAAAATTTAGGGAACTAACAAAAAAAAGATAAAATGACAATTACACAGGATTTCGATGAAAGTGAATAACTAAAGGACTAACATAATATTTTAAGTTGTTTTATAGTAGTAATTTACATGTGTGACATTTGTCTGTATTAGTAAATATGTACTCGCATGTGATAAGTGAGCAGCATTCTAACTAACTAAAGAACCTTAAGAGTATATTATGTATATGACAGTCTGCTCGTTGGACAGTTAACCAGCAAAGAATTACGGTATTTTTAAAATATATATGTGTGTATACAAAATATAGGATAAACTATTCGTCTGTTTAAATATGTCTCCAGTAATAGTTTCATACATTTCTATTAATGTTCAAAAAATATTTATTAAAACAATAAGGTTAACGAACAGACCCATGACTGGCACATAATCGAGTTTATATACATGTATGTGTGTATAGGTATTTAGGTAGGTACAAGTTTATTTAATTATTTAATTTAAAATGCATTAATTTCTTATCAGAGCAAAAACTATCAGCTAGAAATGCGAATCACAATTGATAAATTTATATACATACACACATATAACAGATAACATACATGTGCAAATGCAATTCAATTGCTAAATATCAAATTTGTCAAATAATAAAATCAAATGCAGGTTATACTCGCACATACTATATATGTTTTAGAGTTATTGATACTCAGAGGAACATTACAATTTGTGCTCATTCACTTTGGAGCTGGTTGGTTGTTGCATGTTGTTGGGCAGAACTAAAGCGTTACATATATGTATATCACTTATTCACAATTAGGCCATTTGTGCATACGAATAGGAGCTATATCGGCGGCGGCGATAGTACAGCATGAATATGTAGGAGAGCAGTAGCATAAAGCAGATAACTGAACCCAATATGGCTGTGATTAGAAAAATACCTGATATTAGAAAATAGTACGGCCGCATTGCATTTGTAAAGCTAGGCTTACCCATAGCCATGCCTATATTAGCCTCATCGTAGGGCATCATCATAGTGCTTAGTCTGCATTCTTTCTCCCAATCTACCGGCAAAATATCTTTATAAATTGTGTGCATTTGTTCCAGTGGACATGAGACGCCACAATCGGGTATATTCAGTAGTGTGGGCTCAGCCGACGTGTTTTTGTAGAATATTGACACAAAAGGTTGATTATGCTCATCAATACGCAATTCGAATAGTAAACAAGCGGTATAACCGGGGCTTTTCATCTGAAAGTGTGACATATTTTATATAGTATAAACAAATTGCGATAAGTCTTGGCGCATTATTATTATGCAGTAGAGCATACTCACATCATACAATTTGAGTGTGTTCAAAACGTTCGCCACTGTCGTGTCGTGTGCGCTATAAATCCACACTGCACGATCGGGCTTGAGTGAACCGCGCGCCTTCTCCCCGAAGCGTTGTAGCATCTCTTTTATCAGCGGTCCGGCCTTTAAACGTGCCATGCGGCGCGTATACGTGTTGATTGAAAATGCAAAATCGGCTATGTAGGTCATATCGGCGCTGGGGTATACCTTCTTGGTCCATTCGGGCAACGTACGATTGTAGAGTGTCTCAATGAAAAATGTATTATTCATGCGTTGTATAGCCTCCAATGTATCCACTTTGCGACCCGAATATTTGGTCAAGTAGTCAAATAAATATTGATAGCGTTGATTTAGCTCTTGGAAGGTAATCGAATTCAAAAGTGCTGAGCGCGCATAATCGTAGGCGGCACAAGGCACTTTACCAGCCAACTCCTAAAAGGTAGAAACAATTACAATATAAACAAAAGCATTTGAAATTAAAAAAGCGTTTAAGCACCTTATCGTCCCTTTCGGGTTTGGAATGCACCGGTATCGGTTGCCAAGCTATATCTTTGTTCCAAATCTCATCGCCTATCGGAGGATACAGTCCGGCTAAATTCGACAACGCACTTGCCAGCGTACGATCAACATCGGTTGAGCGCACATAAATCTCATTCTCGGAGTAGGTTTCATTCAATAGCGTGTTATAGCGTTGGCGTAACCATTTGCCAAGCTGGTAGTGCTGGTATTTTCCGGTCTGTAATTGGAAAAGGCAAAAACGTTGTTGGAAATATAATATAATGTTGCGGTTTTAATGTTAAAAACGATATGTATTTGTAAACCATATATGTTTTAAATAAACTAAAGTTGTATTTATTATAATCTAATTCGTCAAAGTGGATCGAATAAACATTCATTATCTTTATATATTATATATACATGTATTAAAGAGAGTCAAAAACAGCGAATAATTACTCTAAAAATAGGTTCTTAGACGCCTCTAAGAAAGTCTCTTCAAGTATGAACTCTTAATTGTAACCGGAAGGCCCTCCGCCTTACAATTTTCTGACCTTCCTCCCTTCCGTACTTACCGCCCTTATCAAACCAAATTTGTCAATAGTTATGCCCGTAGTAGCAACGCAGAAATCAGTTGTTCTCTTTTGTTTTCATTTCACCAATGTTGCCATTGTTCTACTTTGTATACACAAATTTTCACACATTTAGTTTTTTAGTTATAACTTTTCATAATGTAAAAGCTTAAAACTAAAGTCCAAATATTAAAAATAGTCTACCTATTTATAAATAAATGTATTCGACAGTGATTTTGAGTTATTTTAAGAATATTTCAAATATATTCAAGTTTATTTTTTAATTACTACAAAATATCGAGATTCCTTTTTATTTTTCGCGGATATCCTATCCTATGGTCTGTAAAAGCGGTGGGGAGTGTTCATTTACATTGCGCTCTCATAAGATATGTTTTATCAGCTGATTCGATCCACGGTTTGCGTCGGTGACTGTTTGAACTATTACGATTTTTTCGTTTAAACTCCATACAAAAATTTACTGTTCTACAAATTGGTCTTGACTCACCCTAATATATATATATATTATACTTTGCATTTATTTTATTGCGTTCTTGGGTGGTTAGAATTAGTAATTGCAATCATTAGCTAGCACAAATAAACAAGTTTTTCAAAAAACTTAATTTTGATCGCTCAGTTGCAGATTGCAGCGTTGCCTCGAACAATAATCCATGTCGAATTCCATGAAGGTACCTCGTCAAATAAAAACGTTTTCCATACAAGGACTTCATTTTAAACGTTCAGTTTGTATGGCAGCTATATGCCATAGTGGTCCGACATCGGCAGTTCCGACTAATGAGCAGCTTCGATATCTTAAAAACTAATGGACTTGTTCGCGTATATACACACAGACGGACGGACATGGCTATATGTACATATAGAATATTTTTATAGGGTCCCTGACATCTCCTTTCGGATGTTACAAACTTCGTGGCATTAAGTTTGCCACTGTTTGCTACCTGTTCAGGGTACAAAAACTCAGTTATTGCAGCCTTTGGGATAAGCAAATATATCACAAATAAAAAATTTAATTAATCCAAATATTTAAAGTTCTCGTGATATTCTAATGACTATATAGTCAAAAGAGTCAATCCAAGTTGAACACGCTACTTACTTGTAGAAATCATTAAAAAACAGGAGCAATAAAATAGAAACTGAGCTGAAATACTAGTTACTAAAAACACAATGAAATAAGAAAATGTTAGTAAACAATTTTGGAGAGATATAAAAGAACTGAATAAATTAAAAAAATAGCTAAAAAAAGGTTGAAAAATAAAAAAATACAATATACAAATATGTGAAAGACAATTAATAATATAACAGTTATCTACTTATATATCTTATATTGGAATTTTTTTTATCAAATTCGCCACTATTTGTAATTTTTTTTTCTTGTTTCATTATCAATTTGTAACATGAATTCGCTTCTGTAATTACTACATGCATGTATCGATATGATAACGCTTCAAATGCGATTTTCCATATACATACATATGTACAATATATAAAATGAACTTTGCATCAATCAAGTTTAACCATGACCAGGAAATAAGAGTGAAGTTACATAAATTTACAAGCTGAAAGTAAGTGAATATGTTCAAAACATGATTAAAAATAACATACTAAAACTGCTTATTGTTCCGATATTTTAAAAAAAAAAATACACGAGGTCATATTCAACAGTGGTTAAAATCAGGTTTATGGTTTTATTGCACTCTCAAGTAAAATTACAGTTATTAACAAAATTTAAGTACATATATGTATTTGAAAAAAAAGAACGATAAAATTAAAAAAATTTATTTCTGTATAAATTTTAATTCGATCATATAAATTAATAAAACAAAGTGAATGCAATAAACCAATTTACTCTTTTTAGTGTCGTTATCTATTTTTGTACGACTCTTAATCTTAAATCAATATAATAATTTTTTTTAATATTCTTTGTTATAATCTGATCATTGTATTTCGATTTTGAACGTCACGTGATTAATCAGTTTACACGAAACGTGCACAAAATATATTTGAAAGTAATATTTACTGATCTTATTGTTGCATAAATAAGATTGTTGTTGTTTGTATTTACCATTGATAAATATGCTTGTGTTAAAACCCCCTGTAGGAAATTATCGTAAATAAATTATTCATAACTATAATACGGGCTCGAAAACTGGTTATGGTTCGAACTCTAGATTAATATGTTATTTATATATTTCAGAAATTGTAACTTAAAAAGTAATAAAATATAGTTATTATGTTATTATACTCTCGCAACCTGTTGCTACAGAGTATAATAGTTTTGTTCACCTAACGGTTATTTGTATCACCTAAAACTAATCGAGTTAGATATAGGGTTATATATATATACAAATGATCAGGAAGAAGAGACGACTTGAAATCCGGGTGACTGTCTGTCCGTCCGTCCGTGCAAGCCCTAACTTGAGTAAAATTTGAGATCTCTTTATGAAACTTGGTACACATGTTTCTTGGTACCGTGAGACGGTTGGTATTGCAGATGGGCGTAATCGGGCCGACTGCCACGCCCACAAAAAAAGCTCCGCAATAAGATACAAGACTGTTATTTGGTACACAGGATCACATTAGGGAGAGGCATCTGCAGTTAAAATTTTTTTTTTAAGTGGGCGTGGTCTCGCCCCTAATAGGTTTAATGTGCATATCTCCTAAAGCGCTAATGCTATAATAACAAAATTCACTGGAAGCAAATGTTTTTAGAACCTCTACCTACAGTGTGAAAATAGTTGAAATCGGGTGGCAACTCCGCCCACTCCCCATATAACGGTACTGTTAAAAACTACTAAAAGCGCGATAAATCAAGCACTAAACACGCCAGAGACATTAAATTTTATCTCTGGGATGGTATGAGATAACTTTATAGGAACACAGCCCACTTTTTGGTGAAAACCCATATCTTGAGATCTGCTCAACCGATTTCAACCAAATTCGGTGCATAACGTTCTTTTCATGTTTCTATGTCGTAGTGTGAAAATGGGCGAAATCGGACTACAACCACGCTTATTTCCTATGTAACACCATTTTAAATACCACTTGATTCTTTCACTTTCCACTATGCAAATCAGGTAACAATGATTATATCGGAGTAAAACTTTGCGTGAATAATACGTTTAAAGTATGCCACCTTGTGACCAGAAATTGTCTAAATCGAACCAAAACTGTTCAAACCCCTAAGTACTAAATATGTGGACCCCACTGCCTATAGTTGACCTTCTACCGAAAATATCAGTCAATCCACAAATAAATCTCAAACGAGTATACCATTTGACTTTGCGAGAGTATACAATGTTCTGTTACATCCGAACTTAGCCCTTCCTTACTTGTTTTTATTCAAATTTCATAATTTTCTAGATTGCAGCAGCTTTTATTTGTGATAAAAAATCGTCCGCTAATTAGGAAAGAAACACATTACCATATTTTTAAGATTTCATTTTATATTATGAAAATTAATTTCATAATCTTACCATCTGCAAATTACCAATTAAAATTTTTTCTACTAGGTGTCAACCATTAGTCGTCAAATTCGTGTGTACTAAATACTTGTGCATACAAATGTTTTGCTTGTGAGATAACAGTAAGCAATTTAAAGCGGCAAACATTTGTCCGATAAATATTATAATGGATATAGTAATAAGACCCTACTTATGTATATATACTCAGACATACATATGTGCACAAGTATGCATTGTGTGTGCTCATTAAACTGAAATTAACGCTACTGATTGTTGGTGTATGTTCAGTTGATAATCGACGACTATAAGCGCGCTCCTAATTCAATGACAGTTATTGTAAACATTGCATTGAAGTCAACCGGCAATATTAGTAATTTATTAATAGGAATTGAGATAAGCCAATAAGCACTTCTCGACTATTGTATGCATATAAATACAAACATACGAGCATACATACATATAGCCACATACAAACGTGTACTAGAAATACTACTAACAACAGCAGCGCATTGTTGAGAATTTCGTTAACAAACGGAGGTAATTGAACTTAAACAATTACGAAACACTACTCCATGATAATCATCAAAAATTAATAATATATGATTTCTCAATAGAAAGTCGAATAATGACAGACAATTTGTTATTTTTTTTAATATACCAACAACTTTATCAAAGGTAAATGGGCTAATTAATGTACAGTTTAAGATTAAAGTATGCAGCAACATGAATAAAATAATTAAAATTTCCAACTAGGTCATACGTTTTTATTGAAAAAAATTAAATATTTGAAATCAATGCGCATTGAGAAAGTCACACAGCAGAGAAGAACGAAAGCAGCATAATTAATATTTTTGAACTGAAACTTTACAACAAATATATAAATTTACCATTTTAGAAAACTTAAAAATTTAAATAATTTTAAAAATAAAATTTATAAATCTGATGCTTGCAAATAACTGCTAAATAACTTGATTTGATAAGAATTTTTTTATATAAATGTGAATTCTTCAAGATTTAAAACAACAGCTGGAAATACTTTTGTTGGAAAAATACAGAACACCCTAATGTCAATTCAAAAATCAGCAGCTACCGCTCTACAAATATCTTTATTTAGAGATAAACTCGTCACACTTGCGAACACAATTTAAACATTCTTATATACATAGAGTGCATGTATGTAGGTATATATGTATATATAAAAAAAAAAAAGAAAACATATGCTTCACGTATTGTAGATGCGAGTGTACATATATTTACACATATGTATGTATGTTCAAAATTCTTACCAGAACCTTAAAATTTATTTCCTTATTTATTTTTACTTTTTTTTTTTGTTTTTGAAGTACTTATACATGTGTATATATAAATATTATATAATATTTAAGAATGTTAAATTTTTTTTTGCTCAAACCTTTCTCTTAGTAAGTTTTGTTGGTATACATTTTTTATACGCTAAACAGAGTTTGGTACAAAGTTCGTAACAACCAGAATGAAACATCGAAGGGCCTATAAATATATTATATATATATATATGTACATGATCAGCGTGACGAACGTAGTCGATTTACTGCCTACCTTTCTGTCCGCCTGTCTGTATGTGCGACTAGTTGCTCATTTTTTGAGATATCAATCTGAAATTTTCACATTTTCTCCTCAGAAATCTACTGATAAATCTTCATAATCTATGTGATTAACGATTTTACTGATTTTAATTTAAATTTCAACCCGACAATAAATTACAAAAATTTTAAACAAAGTGCAAATAAACAAAAAATAATAATAATAATAACAAAAAAAAATATTTCTCTAATAACATACATACACACACATAACCTAAATTTACAAAATTAATATTTAATATTCCACTGATTTCTAGTAACATAACTTACGTACGTTTGCTCACATACGTACATATGTATAAACATATGTGTTTATGTATTCAGACATTCGTTATCACTTTGGAATTCAATGAAAGACAATTACGTACGCATGAGCGAGTCTGATAAAAATTTTACACTGTTTAGCACAAAAATCAAATTTTAAAGCATTTTCTAAACTTCATAAATATATGTGATAAAAGATTACTAAAGATAAATAAATTTAACGTTAAACTGATAGTCGAAAACTCAGATTGCATGAGTATCTTTGAGCGATTTTTAAATAAACAGCCTTTTAATTATAAGTGAAATATATATGTATAGATATAAACACATAGTATATATTTTGAATAAGAGTTAACATATCCCTGTAAATATGTTGCAAAAATCTTAAATGCACTCATAGATATACATATACACATAGTGAACCAAAAAAACCAGTTTGTATTTGACGTGACTTATCTCCTAAACTATTAAAACTTTTGAGTTACATCAAAAAGTGAGAAAAAGGCCGTTTTTATACTCTCGCAACCTGTTGCTACAGAATATAATAGTTTTGTTCACCTAACGGTTGTTTGTATCACCTGAAACTAATCGAGTTAGATATATATACAAATGATCAGGAAGAAGAGACGACTTGAAATCCGGGTGACTGTCTGTCCGTCCGTCCGTCCGTCCGTGCAAGCCCTAACTTGAGTAAAAATTGAGATCTCTTTATGAAACTTGGTACACATGTTTCTTGGTAATGTGAGACGGTTGGTATTGCAGATGGGCGTAATCGGGCCACTGCCACGCCCACAAAAAAAGGTCCGCAATAAGATACAAGACTGTTATTTGGTACACAGGATCACATTAGGGATTTTTTTTTTTTAAGTGGGCGTGGTCTCGCCCCTAATAGGTTTAATGTGCATATCTCCTAAACCGCTAATGCTATAATATAAAAATTCACTGGAAGCAAATGTTTTTAGAACATCTACCTACAGTGTGAAAATAGTTGAAATCGGGTGGCAACTCCGCCCACTCCCCATATAACGGTACTGTTAAAAACTACTAAAAGCGCGATAAATCAAGCACTAAACACGCCAGAGACATTAAATTTTATCTCTGGGATGGTATGAGATGACTTTATAGGAACACAGCCCACTTTTTGGTGAAAACCCATATCTTGAGATCTGCTTTACCAATTTCAACCAAATTCGGTACATAACATTCTTCTCATATCTCTATGTTATAGTGCGAAAATTGGCGAAATCGAATTATAACCACACCTATTTCCCATATAACACCATTTTAAATTCTATTTGATTCTTTCACTTTCCACTATGCAAATCAAGCAACAATGATTGTATCGGGGTAAAACTCTGCGTGAATAACACGTTTAAAGTATGCCACCTTATGACCAAAAATTATCTAAATCGAACCAAAACTGTTCAAGCCCCTAAGTACTAAATATGTGGACCCCAGTGCCTATAGTTGACCTTCTACCGAAAATATCAGTCAATCCACAAAGAAATCTCAAACGAGTATACCATTTGACTTTGCGAGAGTATAAAATATTCGGTTACATCCGAACTTAGCCCTTCCTTACATGTTTTAATTGAAATTTATTTTTAAAAATCCAGTTTTATCCATAAATTAAAAAATCCTCAATAACTCCATTTTCGAAGACCAAAAAAATAATTGTACAGTTTGCATAAATTAAGATTTTAACATTCTTTAAGGAAAATTAATACTTTGTATTTGCACCTTTGATTTCTATCATGATGCATGCATCAAATTTTGTTCCAAGTATAGGAAAATATACCCCCTCCATATTTCCTGAAGAGCAGCGTCTCCACATAGGCCCAGAGGTGTTCAATGGGAGTGGGGTCTGGACTCTGGGGAAGATGTGGCAGTATTTTTTTCAAATTGTACAACAACCATTCCTTAACCACTAAAGCAGAATGATTAATGTAGCCACCATTTAAATTAAGTTTAGCTGCTAGCGGACTCAAATTATTTCTAATTTCAAACACCACACAATGCAGCCACCACCATGCTTGACAGTAGTATTAAAATTTTTATCATGCAGCGCTTATACTGTCTTACGCCATACAAAACTACGACCATCAGTTCCAAATAAATTAAATTTGGACTCATCTGTAAAAAATTACAGAATCTCAAAATCCGTTATCGCGGTGAGTATACTGTTTGGAATATACAATAGTAAACGTCTCGCAGTATTTCTCTTCGATAATTGTGGCTTAATTCGTGGTGAAACGCTCTAAAATCAGGTGAAAGCAAGAAGTTTCGAACAGTTTGAGAGAGCAGTTTGGCAATGCCAGCTTCTTCCAACTCCTTGGCGTTAGCGACAGCGGTTATTTTTGTGTGCTCCTTGATACACCGAGCAACTTTGCTTTCAGTCTGAGGCGTGCAAATTTTTCTGAGCGTTCCACTAAAATCCACCAATCTATTTGAATTTAGCAATTATGTACTGAACTTTTTTTTATATTGCCTATTTCGCGGGTACTTTTGTTCTCTTGCCAATATTTGACTACCAGAACCCGTAAATCTTGAGATGTTTTTTAGTCACCATATTTTTGCCAACACTACAACCGCATAAATGAAGTTCGCTTACCAAATACATAATACATTTTGACGAAACGCAAATATTAGACAAAAATAACGGTACCTAATTGGTAACTGCATTTACCATAAGGTGTTGCCAACATAAGTGTACAAGTTTTGTTTTTTGGTGCTGAAGGTTGAGATATTTTAATTGTTTGCAATGGTTAACATCAAAATGATTTATTGTTAAATTTTTTATTAAAATATGAAAAATATAAAGATTCTCATAATGTTAGTCTTGTTAGTACCTTCAAAGTCGAAGCATTTCTCTGTAAAATTTTTTTATTGGTTCACTGTACTTGTATATGGTCTACGCCAACTGCAACGCTTGCAAAGTAAAATCTGCTGCCATATGGTAGCCAAATTTACAACGACTCAGCATATGATACCCTGACCCACGCACGCAAATATGAGAAACTTATTTATTACACTAACGAAGTAATAAAAACAAATTTTGAATATCGCACTTACATTTGTGAGTTCGCCCCAGCCGACCGGCCAGTACTCGCGATTCTTCCACGGATCCGTTGGGTATGGTTCGATTGGCGTGCGGTCGCCGTGTCGGAAGAGCTGTGAAATCGCACAAACAAACAAAAATGTTGATTATGAAAAATTCGTTAAATCACTGGGCATTGTTGGTTATTAACCAGGCGTCTGTTAACCGATAAATGTACATATGTACAACCAAATATAAACGGAGTACACACTTACCACATGCGAGAATATTAATTTTCCCTTCAAAGCAGATGGCTTGGTAATTTCACGTAGCTGCAGTTGCTCGTCGCTTTGTTGTAGTGTTGTTGGCAGCTCCAAGTCCGCCAAAGTTAGTGTAGCACAACACAAAGTGAAAAAGACGAAGATGCAGAATAGCTGCCTGTGTTGGAACAGCCACAGCGGCTTAAAAATATTTGGTGATTTTGGCATGTCGCTCGCAGGTGTTTGCAATGTTGTTTTTCTTGTTTATTTTATGTCTTTTGTTTTGCGCATATATCCGCTTCTTGTTCAGCCCGCACCCGCAGCCCGCAACAACCAACTTGTTTCACGGCAAGTTATAAAATAATCGTATATTTATTCGCGCGTTTCACAAAAACTCAACGCAAAAGCAAATGTTGAAGTTAGAAAATAAATATTGTGAATATATGCGTATTTATGTGTATGTATGTATGTGTGGCGATTCGTGATATTCTCTTTGCTCGTTTATTTTGGTATCTTGTCGTAGTGGTTTGTCAATGCACTAAGTTCCCGTTTCCTGCTCGCCTGCTTGCTTGCCTGCGTATTGTCCGCCGTCTACGTCCAAGTAGAAGGCCCGGTACGCTATTTTATTCAATTCAATTTAGGCATTTGTATGTGACTTTTGTGTGGCCTTATTCGTTGGATGTCGCACAGCTGATAATTGAGATTTTATAAATTTAGCTGCAATTCAATATTCTGCATTTGCACGCGAGTGTATAAGTGTGTATGTTTGCTGTTGCCTTCGTCACCTTCTTCGACTTCTTCGAGTACCCAGTTGGCCTTTTTTTGTTTGTGGTCGCAGTTTTTTATTTGTTTTTTTTTGTGTTCAGTTCGACAAAGCACTCGCACAAAGCAATTGTGTACCGTTGCCGCTGCTTTTATGCATTTGAATCATACCCATTATTTCACAAAGCCGTCAGGTATATGAATTTAAAGTTATAAAATCACAAAGTAATGAAGTAATCTTCAATTCCCTTGTTGTGGCAGTGCGCCAAGTCAAGACCGTTTCTGACTTTGACACCGAACACGACGACAGCAACTGTGCGAAGATTCGCAGTCGCAATAATTCAACAGACTCGCGGTAGAGCCGCAGCGAAGAGAGTGTATGCGTCGTAAAAAAAGCGCTCCAAAGCGCTTTCGCCACCGCTCAGTGACAGCTAAGCAATTGATAAAAGCCTTGAAATAATCTTTGACAAATATCAAAATGTTGTATTTTTTTGTTGTTTCAGTAAATTTCTTTTGTACAGCTGGCTCGATGTAGAGTTGTACAGAGAGCATTATACTGCAGAGCTGCAGCTGTACAGTTGGTAGCATGCGTGCATCAATACATGCATATATATATATAAATGCATTGAGTGATGGCGACGTCAGAGAGTGTGAACATTTCGGAAAGATAGAGAGCTGAACTCTACAACCGCTGCTGGTACTTCCCCTACAAGTAAAAATTTCGTTATTTAATGAAAAGCGATTTGGGAGTATTGAAAAAATTAATTAATTATAACATGGATTTTGATCGAGATTGATATAACAATACATTCAGAGCTAGATTATTAAACGCTGCACCTATTGTACTTATTTAAGAACAAATTATTACAATATAATTCCCATAAATGGGTATTAAATTGAAATGTGCGCCTAAAAGATGCTATCTGCTATATTAAGAAATAATTGAATAAGTTTTTGTTGAATTTAATATCCACAAGCTTAGTATATTAATAAAAAAAAGAGTTTGTTAAAGAAGAAATAATTTTTACTTAATTTTGAAAAAGTTACATATGCATTTAGTACATAATCAATGTGCAATTTTATTTATTACAAAATGTAATGTAATATTAGCAAACCTCCAAAAAAGCACTATAGGACTGAGATTCAAATTAAAATGTCAGACAGCATTCTTCTTTAATATTTCGGCTCGGAAAAGATTTTGAATATATATACATATGTATATGAAGCTTATACCATAATTTTCAAGGTCTGTGTATTATTATATTTACCCATTTATTTTAATAGTATTTAGTCTACCTTAATTCAGTATCCTTGATATATAAAATGTAAATACATACATACATACTAACCTGGAACCATATTTTCAAGCAGCATCCATTAACGATGTACATGAGAGCGGCATAATTGCTTCTATTCACACAACAGACGAGTCTAAATAACCGGAACGGACCCGATTTTTGTCCAGCCAAGGACTTTCAACTCGGCACCATTCCTCCAAATTACTGTCGGAATGTTTTCTGCCTCAACATCAATTCATTTAGCTTAAAAAGATGCACCCACACTTGGTTACTACAAGTTATATTTTAAAGAATTTACTTAAGAAACTTTTCGATATGATTATTTACACATTATTATACCCTGTACAGGGTATATTAAATTTGCCACATATTTTGTAATACCCAGATGGAATCGTCGGCGAACCTACCAAGTATATGTACATATATATTAATGATCAGCATAACGAGCTGATTCGATTTAGCCATATCCGCCTGTCTGTCCATCCTATCCCAACGGCCAGGGGGTAGAATTTGCCCGCGGTAAGGTATGCCTTTCGTAAAAGGCGACTAAAATGCACTGTCCGTTTTTAAGTTTTGCCACGAAATATCAGCATAGCTATGTCAGAAATAGTGCTATAATACATACTCAGCTTGAACTCGGCCAAGGTGGAATAGGTGTCCATTCCACACTACCAACTGTTATCCAAATAATGATTGCGCTATTTGGGTCGCTGATCAACGCATTGTTTGGAACCGTTGTGCGTTTGAGCACCGTGAGGTTAGGTCGTCGCCGACAGGTAATGACGTAAATCACACTGAAAGTTGTCTGTCCTAACTAGTCCCTCAGTTTTAGAGATATCGATTTGAAATTTTGCTCAGATCCATTTCTCCCCGGAACGGCCGATATCGACACTTTAGCATATAGCTGCCACACAAAATGATCGATCAAATACATGACCTTTTAGGGGAAACTTTTTTTATTTGACGAGTTATCTTCACTAAATTTGGTTTGAAATAATGTTTAAGACAACGGTACAATATTTGAAGAAACTGTAACCAACTTACTGCTAAGGATTTCTGAAAATACAAGTCCAAAATTTTTTTAATTAATAAAAAATAAATAAAAAAATGTTTAGTGTTAAATTTAAGAAGTTTTTATGGAAGTTTTACAGAAATTGTTGTATTACTAAGATGCATTAGAAAAATAATGGCGACTTGTTAAGGCAGTTACTCTGAGTTGTATAGAAACAACTGTGTTCTATCCAATTCTACTTCGTATAGCTTGCTTCAGTTTTTCTGTTATGAAAAACTATTTATTTTATATGCTATAACACCAGTACTGAAACTATCGTTTTATTTACATAAAAAAAAATTAAGTGTTTCTTTATTCAATTATATTGCAAAAAACAAATGTACTAACCCTAAAGTAAGATTTTAAATAGATATGTGCAAGAAATTAAAACATTTTTGTAATAACTTGGGCTTTTTCATTGTTGTTCATTTATATACAAACTTAAGTATACTTTTTTTAATTGAAAATATACATATCAATATTCGGTCAGGTAAATGTATAGTTAATACTTTTCACACATAGAATCTTTTACGTTACGTTATGTACGGCGTGATTGTAAGTTAATATCGTTTAAAATTTTCACGGCATTTCTAATTAAATTTTATTCAGAGTAGTTGAAAGAGTGATCTGCGCAATGTTGTCTGTAAAATTGTAATTTTCCTATTTAATTATTTTGTTCTATGCTTAGAATATGTTATATACTTTACATATGATAGTTAATATATACAAAATATTGACGCCCTTGCGTAGCTTATATACTAATATTTGTTGATTTAATTAAATATTATAAAAATGTAATAGTTTAAATGACTCCGTAAAATGTAATTTTTTTCCGAGTCACATATTGAGTTTACTCAGCAAAGTTTTCGCACGTGTGCGCTCGTTATGAATTGCCTATTCATATAGTTAGTCTAACTGTAATACACGAATTCCACATTATTTATTCACATAAACGCTATGGTGAACTCGTTACTAGTTGTTATTTTCAAAAACGTTGATAGGGCATCGGGTTTTGACGTGGACCATTGCTGTATGTAAGAGAAATAGTAAAATATGTTTTATATATAATAACGAAAAGTTATTTCAAGAATATGTAAAACTATTTACAAATCATATTTTTACAAGCCAAACTATTTTCCGCAGCCATATTGAAATATTGTTCTTTCACTTTCAACAGTTCGTCCTATTTATTGCTTTGTTTGTTCAAAAATGATTCTCAATAAAAACTTACCGTTGATTTCCACCACTCCGACCGCCACGCGCAGGCCCACCGCGGCCAACGAATCCCTGCGCTCCAAGTGGAGGGAAATTACTATTGTAATTATTCGGCGCGGAAAATCTTTCATTATTGCCCCCACCGCCACTTCCACCAACGCCGTCACCACGCCTAAATCCGCCACGGCCACCACTATTTGCATTGCCACCACCTTGACCATTGCCAAAGCCGCCATGGAATCCACCACGTGCAGGCATATTATTTCCATGGCTACAAAAAGGAGAATGTGAGCATTATTAAAATCCGTGGCTCATATTATTTAAGGTTTTACATGCTTTTCATTGTAAATCTCATAACCTAACTCACCCATTTGAACCATTGTTATTTCTTCGACTAAAAAGTCCTTCGGTGGAGTTATTTGGTAGGCCAGCATTATTTTGCATTCCACTTCCACCAAATGTGCCAACATGATTGCCACCACCAAAAGCAGGATTGCCAGTACCGAAACGTTGACCACCACCACCACGTCCGCTCATAGGTAAGGCGAAACCTCTTCTATCCTGACCCTGACCGCCAATACCCTTATTACCGCCAAAACCTCCCGGTAGATTAGCGCCTGAATTGCTACCAAAGCTGTTGCCGTACCCCTCGTTGTCATTGAAATTACTCATGCCACCAAACTGACTGTTGCCATCAAGCGTTGGTTTATCCCAGTTATGAAAATTTTGTTGTCCACCGTCACCTCCTCCACGGCCGATACCTCTAGAGCCGCTGGTATTTCCACTACTAAAGTTTCCTCTTTGATTACCACCAAACATTCCACTAGCGTCATTCGAATTTCCACTAGGACCATCATTTCTTCGTTGATAAGGCATGTTACGTTGTGGTTTGAAGTGATCATTACGTATAGGTCCGCTACCTTGATTAAATTTATTTTTTGGTGCGCCACGTCCGGAATTATTACCAAAGTTTTGTCTATTATTGCCACCATCAATCATACCACTATCTCTTCCACCTGGTCCGCCACCACGATTCCCTGGTCCCGAGTTCCTACCCCCTTAATATAGTAATATTTACAAAAATGTTAACAAAAGCAATAAACAATATACGAAATATCTCAACTTTACCTCCGCCACGTGCTCCACCTCGTGACCTTATATTTCCGCCTCGTTCATTGTCCGCATTTGTTTTCCTATCTTTCGGCCGACCCAGCTCTACAACAATCATTTGTCCTTTAAATTCAGAGGCGTGTAGTGCTGTAATCGCTGTGTTAGCCATTTCTTTTGTTTCCATGTGTACAAATCCACATCGATTCATAACATCACATTCCACCACAACACCGTAATCTTCAAATAGATGTCGTAATTCCTCAGGCTTTGTACCGGGCGGCAGGCTACCCACAAATATTTTTGTCTAAATATCCGAAATTTTATAAAAATATTATATATGGTATACGAACGTCATAGCACAAGCAAAATAATTATTCAATATTGCGTAAAACTTTACAAAAATATTCGTTGATATACTTACCGCCATTTCGGTGGGTTGTTAAGTTATTTGTTTAGATTTCTAAGCGTTTTTGTTCTGGCCTTTATTAGCTTTCAGTATTAGCGTTTTTCACCTGTATACGCAGTCAAAACTTTTCTTAATGAACGATTAACAAAAAATGCCGCTAGAAAATTGTGAAAATGGCGAAAAAAGGAAAATGAAATAGTGCCACATAATTTTAATGTTAACAGCGTTGCCATCAGTTCTAAACAACAAAGATAAAAAGTTATATATACGTTCTCTGGTAATATTATAAACCGCCATTAGAATATGCACATTCTCCAGAGAATCTAATCTACATTCTATGCTCCATTCTCTGCCGACACGCTCGATTTTTGGCAATTCGAACTGCAATGACGTTAGTAAATGTTTTGTCAGGTCAATTAAATGGAGCGTGTAATATTTTATAGAATTGAAACACTTCGTATCCGTCGATTTCGTCCATGCTAAAACTTATGTTGCTAATAGTTTATTAATACATTACGAAATTTTTAATAAAACTTCATATATATTACTGTTTTCAGAGAATGTAGAGAATGTATTATATATTTTACATTCTCTGCTGTTATATTAATGTTAACATTTTTAAATATTAATTTATACAAACAAAAATAACCGTGCACTATAAGTAACACATTGGCAACATTATTAAGAAAAATGGGAGACAATGTAGTTGGCAATAGTAAAGAATACCGAAAGTAAACAAACAATTTATAAACATTCACATAAAATGTACGCTTCAGCCGACGAGGAATATTTTTGTAATTATAATAGTAGCAACAATACTGAAAGTATTTTACCAACAGTGGAACTGATGGTTAACTTTCGTTTGGGTGGTGAACGTATGAAGAAGCTTTGCATTATGTGTGCCGAGAAGATTTCATTCAAAGGATTGCTTGTAAGATTTAAAATATCGAAAACAATTAATTTGTTCAACAATAACATATAAATTACAGCAATTGCGGTTGACGGAGAAAAGCGATCATCGCCGCATGTACATTACCACGGTGGATGGTTGTTCATTCAATGAATTGAAGCAAGATCAGTCATTACATGTAACATTTGCTGGTTTCATAGAGAATTTGGCAAGAATGCTTCAAGACTGTCGGTCGGGAAAGCTTGAATTAGCGTTGGTACAGAAACAGTCCAACTCTGCGGATGAATCCATTGGCTATCAATTGCAATTTATTGAAATGCGTACTTTTAAGAATCTCGTCCATTTATGTCTACCTAGTCGTATTGCCCCCCTGAATGTTGTATTATTCTATATGAGCAGTCGGTTTGATGTAATACAGGTAATATCGTATTTTTCCCTTGGTTTCTACGGCTTCTAATATATATATATATATATAACATTTTAGAAACGAAATCAATCTCAAGAAAATCAAATACAGGCCTTGCAACAGGAAGTCGACATGCATTTGCGTACTATTGACCAGTTAAATGCAGAAAATGGGAAGCTGAGGGAGAATTTGGTAGATAACTCAAGAAATTTAAATCAACGTCACTCCGAAGAGTTGAAACATTTGCAAGAAAGTTTGCGTAAAGCAGCGGAACAGAAACACATCGAAAATGAACGTAGCCAAAATACAATTACGGTATTACAATTGCAAATAGATAAACTAAATGCTGACAAAAATAGTATGCAAGCAGAAAAAGTGTGAGTTATAAATGTGACATTTAATGAAAAAAGACAGTTGATACATTTTTCTAAACAGTATTTTGTAATTAAGAATATCTTTTTGTATGTATATTTTAGTAAAGAGCAAAAACACATTGAGATGCTGAAGGAGGAGTTATCTAGCTCTAAATCACAGAGCTCCTCGCTAAAAGAACAAGTCGAACGGTTACACGTAGAAGTATCTTCGTTAAAGAACACCGAGCGCAAAAACGAGATGCACTTAGCGGATGCTCGTAATCATATTTCGGAGCTTCAAGAAAAAATTAAAAAATATGACAAAGCCAAGGTAACATATACATTGATAAATTTAAAATCTTTTAAGCTTTAGCTGCTTCGTTAGGCCGATGTAGTCGCTGAACTTGAGGCGGAGAAAAAAATTTCACAAACAAAACGGAAAGCACTCGAAATGGCCGCAGAAGAGATATCTAAAGCCAATGAAATAATTTTAAAACAAAGCCAAGAACTTATAAAACTCAAAAAGACTGTTAGTTGGCGAACGGAGGTTGCACTTCAACAGGAGAAAGCAATTGGAGATAAAGATAAACTACTGCAATTGCGAGAAAGGGAATTGTCGCAAGCACGGGTTACTATCGATACGTTGCGCGAAGAAATACCACAACAACTGGATTCTATGCGAAAATTTGCCAATACGTTGGAGCGAAAGTATAGTGAACGTAAGTTGTAAATTTGTTGTATTTTACTTTCATAAATAATTATTTTTGTAGAAATCAGTGCATTACGCGAGAAATTAAGTTCAACTGGAAAAGAGAATATTCTACAACATGTGTCGACCCCACCACTGACCTCTAGCCGTCGCAAATGATCAACTACTGGTTATTTCTTTTTGCAATTTAATACACACCGTAATTTTGTACAAGTTCTGTTATTTAATGAAATTTTATATAATATATAAAACTATAATTTATGTTTGATACTAACTAATCGTCTACGCCCACAGTTGTCTCACCAGCGTGTGCTGTGCCAACATTGACAGCCTGAAAGAATTCTTGGTCGGATTGGTTTTTCTTCAATCGTTCTCGTATTAACTCCGCAATCGCCTTCTGTGTTCGCCGTTCCAAACGCTCTAATTTTTTTGCCACATCACGTTTTAAATCCCAGTCAGGTTTTCTTGGCGCCAAATTTGCTATATCAATTTCGTCAATAACCATAGGTTGACGCAAAAGTTCGAGTTGATCTTCCACAGCTTTCTCAATGTCACCCGATGGTTCTTGCTCTAAAACTTCACCTTCTGTATTTTCATTTTGGGGTTTATAACTTCTGAAAATGGGTCTGTACAAATAAAACTTTATTTTAGTAAGCATATTAGTTAAGATATCTGGAAAAAGGGTAAATAGTTACTTTGGAAGTTTATCTGCTGCTTCGCTGTTTGTTTCTTTATCAATTTTATTAGCTTTCTCTCGCAATTGCCGCAAACGTTCCTTACGCCTTAAAGACTCTTCTGATAATTTACCTAATTTATTTTCGTCGTTATCCATCTTTTATGAATTAAAATGCGAAAACAATAAAAACGTGTCAAACAAAATAATAAGAAATTGTTTATACAGATTGACATTTACAAGCAAATCAGTGCTGCCAAATTACAACATAAAGAAACTGTTCTCATTCTGATGCTGCCAATTTTTGCACAGTTATTGTTGTTGTACAGTTTGTGTAAAGTAATCAAATTCGGTCAATTCATATGAGTTTTTGCTACAATTTGCGCTCAAATTTATTTTCATTAGAAAGAAATAAATGATTGTTAATAATGAAATATCACAAGTTGTGGCTTTTTGTTTTATTTCTTTGTGCCGGCTACAATTATCAATTGGTACAGAGTACACAGGATGAAGATAGCTGGATTGATCCCGATGCTTGGGGACGTGAAGAACATCTTCAAAATGCACAACATAGCAAATATAACTATCAAAGTGATGATACGACAAACTCGAAATGTCTGGTATATAAAGGCGACAGCCATAGTGGAGAAGCCGTCGCACTGATGTATTATAAAAGACTCATTGCGTACTTATTTAATAGCGACTTTTTCAAGGTGCGTCATTAATTACACAGATATTTGGTAGTAACACATATGGATGTAAGTTGGTGATGACATCATAGCCCCACACACAAGCCGGCATTTGGCAATTTGTTACAATTTATGCACATGTTTTCGCCTTTCAATTGTGTTTTTATATCTTCATATTTAGCATGATGACTTGACTGGAGAATTCACTCGTTCATTAATATTGACTGCTTTGCCAGCCCAGTTAGAACAGCTCAAAAACTTAAATGACCCACGAGATTTGGATGTGATTTTATCAGAAATTCTGTCGAAGACAAGAGCGCCTACTAAAGCAGATCTTGATAAAGATAACGTAGTAACTGGTGTTTTTGCCCTTATTTGGGATATCATCAAGGTTTTGGGACATTTATTGAAAGTTTCCGAGGTGAGTGAGCTTACCGTTTCATATTCTACGTTCTGATATGGTTGTAAAGTCTTCATATGGAATGTTGCTTGATATTTTGGATTCAATTTCCTATACACTCGCGAAATGGAAATATATACAGCAGTAAATGTCTCATGTTTATTTTGTTTATTTTCAAGGTTCAATTTTTACTTGGAGCTGCTGGTTTGCTATTAATTGGTTGGTATTGTCATCGAATGTATAGAATCGGCATTATTACAATGATTGTAGGAGCAGTGGTGTGCTTCGGATATTTCCACACGTATTTGGAATGTAATCGCGTACGTATTACATATTTTAAATATCGTTAATCCGTTTCCTCAATAACTAATTATCAAAAACTTTCAGAAATTGGAAGCTGAACGCCTATTAGAAATGATTGCACGACATGAACAGTTAGCAGCGCAAGAACCCATGTGGTACACGCCCATCGTAAACTTGCTTACTTTCAGCAGGAAACAGACCCGAGATACCAAAAAGGAATATATCAAGTTTGTATTCGTTAATTAACTGTACACTCTTGAAATTAACTACATTAATTTTTGTTTTATTTTTAACCAGAAAAGCAAGTCAGCTAAATTTAAATTTCTGTCGACCCGATCATGTGTTTCTTTTGTATGCAAATGACTTGTTCTTAACGCAACTAACATTTCTAATAGATAAATGTGTAGAAACAATGGAAATACTTCGAAGTAATTGAGCACTTTACAACACTATGAGCAATTAAAAAATAATAATTTAATTTACAGATAGTTTGAGCTTCCCATTCAACTATATAGCAAGCGCTGTGCTAGTGTTCCTTATAGGTTATATTGTAAAATTGACATTTAAATACATCCTAAGTCCACGTGCTTGGTACGGCGTATGGCGGCAACATGAGTACGCAATGCATCGCGGTGCCCTCCCTGCAAGCACAGGTACGGCACATCATGAAGATCGTATTTCTGGTGACAATTTAAGAATACTTTTGAACGCCATTAGCGGCGCGACGTCGTCGAACCAGATTTCAATCAGCAATACAACCGCCACGGCGGCTTTAACACAAGCAGCCGAGCAGGGATCTGGCGTGCAGGAACTGCTGGCGCCATTAGATAACGGTAGCGCTGACACAGCATCTGAGTCTTCAACGTCCGAGGAGAAAGCGAACTCAAAGGAAAGCTCTCCGCATAAACAAACAGATGAAATCGTTAACAATAATGCAACGGCAAAACAGCAGGATGTGTCGAAGAGTGCTGAAAAACCACATACGTTGAAATTGGAAGATGTATTGGATAAGGAAGCGTAACAAACTAAGTTCTACAAACCTTTGCTTTTATATTATAATATTATTTATTTATAATTTATTACTTTTTCACAGAAGCGCTGTGCTTTACAATTTAACACACAACGCACATTGGTTTACAGTTAAACACAATGTTGTTATACACAATTTCAAAATGCAAAAGTGAAGCTCGTTAAATGTAATAATTTTAATTAAGAAAGTAAAGTGCGTTACTAATGTTCTAAGCTACAAACAAACAGCTAATTATGGTAGGAAGCAATGTGATACGAATTAAAAATGCTACTGTTAAAATTTGCTTTTTTTTATATTTCTGCACAAAAGTAGTAAACGATTTCAACTATAATAAGTTCAAATAATAATGCAACGTTAAAGAAACTACAATATATATTTATAACCTTTCTGAATATTTTTCTGTGCTATATAGTGAAGTTATTACAATGAAATAACAAATGCGTAAATTTTTTTAAATTGGATTATTGGATTTTTATTTCAACCATTATTTTTAAATTTCTTTGTTACAATATATTATTATATTATATAAGTATAATAAATATATACATATATTATGTTTTGTTTATTTTTTATTCGTATTTATGTAAAGCTATGTCTAGCATTTGTGTGTAGTATAATTATGCTTATTATTAGCTCAAACAAGTATTATATAATACATGCCGTCATTCTCGCTTACTTCTATTGGTCACTGCATTCTCAACAAATGCATACATATCTTGTAATTTTGTATAAGTGTTGACTCTTGTCGTTATGTATTTGCTATTTAAAGTTATTTTTAATAATTAATTGTTTGAGTACTTAAATTCATTCATTTTGAAATAAACAGCTAATATACTTAATTTTTTTGTCTCTGTACAGCAGCTTACGAAAAAAATTGCATATTATATATGTGAATGTGCTTGTATTATTTCTATATATGCTAAAGCACACTTTTTTATACATTTGCAAAACTAATATGCATAAGTGACATGAAATGCAGCAAAGGAAAAAGTAAACGCATAAATTAGCTATATATATTTTAAGTTTTTTATGTATTCAGTTTTATATTGAAAAAAATTAAACATGAAATGTCTAAATTAATAATTTGTGTATGCATTTTTGTGAGTTATTATCTCTGTCTGTTTTGCCGTCTATTACATTAACGCATATAATACGCTTTTATTAATAATCTATATATATATTTTTTTTTTGAATGCATGTATGTGTATATAATTTACGCAATTTATAAGTATAAACTAAGTTTCTATTTATTCGTTGTATTTTTACAAAAACACGGTGTGATGACGACGTCAAGCGCATTTAATTGCTTCGATTTCATCTTTTTTGTTGCTTGATGAACATAATTGTAACATAACACCACATACAGATGCCTTTACAGTTGCTGCCGTTTTATTTAAGTTCAGTTTCATAAACATTTAGCAAATTTATAAAGCTTTCTTTTTTCTCCAGCTAGTATCAAGCTACTATCATATACATATTTATTTACATATTTAAATCAACTTAACAGAGATTTTGCTGAGCACTTTTCGATTTTGTTTAAATATATTGTAAAAATGAAAAATGTAATTCGGATTTGTTGACATGAAAAAGTTGAAATAAAATAAATAACACAAACGCAAACCCTTAACTCTTTAAATAAGTAAGTTTTATTTTTATAATTATATGGTAGATGAACCCGAAACTCACACTTTATTACAGTTCATTTAAGTTTGCTAGAGGTGTTGTAAAGTCTCTAAAATTTTGTTTTTTAAATATTACATTTAAGCAGCAGTTACAGTTTGGGATGTCGGCTCTGGTTAGAATTCTCTTATTAGATAATCGGATTTGGTATATCATAATCTTAGAATTGGACACATTAGCTTCTTTAATTTTTATGAGAACCCGGACGAATATGTTATATAAAAAGTGCAAGTTTATAAATAGCACGAAATTTTAAATGTTGATGAGAGCCTCCACGGCCGTAACGCACATTTTAGCTACGCCATTAGAAAATATATAAGCATGTATTAGAGAATTCTGAAGTGAATGTTAAAAAACTAAAAATTGAAAGTAGTTAAAGCAGAATATATTACTAACTAATTATTTTAGTAGCGAAACTTTTACAAAAAAAAAATTTTAATATTTAGACAAATGTGTGATAAAAGTAATGCAAAAAATACAAATGTGTCGATTTGTAATTGAAAAATGTACGCTGAGTTGAAATATTGATATTCAGTGCATTAACATAACCTCAAATCAAAATAAGCGCTTTATACGTATGGTACTTGGTATTAGTTATAAAATACGTATGTATATTTCTTTGCAGTGACAATTTAATGTTTATTAAGCTATGAAATTAGGTTTTTCGTATTTCTTTTAAGCAGTTTATTGTAAATCTAAAATAATTGAAGCTGAGCTTTCGGTTTTCAATATACTTTAAATAAACTTTTTGGTAGTAGTTTTTGTTAGTTTTATTTTAATATTTTTTATTAATATTTTTTCTTATCAATTTTTATTATTAATATAAACTTTTTTTGTTAAACTTTTTTGCTAATATCATATTATATTTTTTTAATTTTTAATTAATTCTTTTTTTTTAACTTTTTTTTTATAAGTAAATTTATTTTTTTATATAATACACATTAAATATACTTTTTGGTAATATATTTTGTAAATAAAGATTTTTGGTTAATTTTTTTATTAGTATTAATTTTTTGTTAGTTAGATTTATTAATATTATTATTTATTTAATTTATTATAATTTTTTATTATTTATTGTTATTATTTTAAAAAATTTTTGTTATTATTATTTTTACATTTTTTAATAATTGGTTTTTTTGATACTTATTGTTAATATTAATTTTTTTTTGGTTTTATTTATTGATATAATTTTTTTTCTCATTATTAATAAATTTTTGTTTATTTTTTATTAATTTTTTGGTGTTATTAATAATGATTAATTAATGTCTATTATTTTTTTTAATTTTTCTATTTTATTTATTAATATTAGTTTGTTTAAATTTATCATTAATTAAATGTTTTATTTTTATAACATAATAATATTCGTTTTTTTGTTTAAGTTTTTACTAATTAGTTTTGTATTGAATATTAATTATTTATTTTAAATTTCTTTTTTGCCTTAATATAATACTTGTATATATTGGCAATCAGTGCTAATAACTGTTAATATTCTATACATTATTCCACTATCCGTTAGAATACGGCGAAAAAAGCACTCTTCTATTAATTATCAATTTTTCATCAAACTATGTTTTAAATATGTATGCTTATATGTAAGTATGTATAATTTTCGGGTGCATTTATTCATAAAATATATTTTTTTTTTTTGGTTTTTGGTTTTATTTCGATGTTTACTGTACTTACGAACTAGTTTTGCTTAAATCAGCGCAAAAAAACTTATAAATATTACTATTATTAATTAATTAAATTTATTGGTTTTCTTCAAGAACAAAGAAGTCATTATGTATAATTATTATATGCATATGTTTTTTTTTTTGTTTTAATTAATTTTAATATTATATTAACAATTAAAGCTTTGCAAATTTCAATTCAATTGTTTACCTTTATAATATTTCACTTTAATTAACTTAAATGCTAAAAAAATTGCATTTTACCTACTTCAAGTTTCATAAGAAATACAAAAGAATTGCTATGCAAGTTTTTGCATAAGTGAAAATGCTTCTGAATAAAACAAATAATAAATAACATGTAATAAAATTTGAGTTTCAGCTTAAAATAGCAGAACAGTACTTATTAGTTTTTAATTAAAAAAATCCAATTCTTACCCACAAGGCGTGTTTGTTTTTGTTTTTAATTTAAGTGTTTTACTCCTTCAATTCTCATTTAAATGGTTAATTCAGCAAATAAGTATTACACATGTTTTTCCTTAATTCTTTCTCCTTACTTTGCTAACTTTTTTGTTGTTGGTTTACGTACAAGTATTTACACAAATTATTGGTACGCATAACTTAACTGTATAAGAGCCGTAAAAGCTTAAAAGCTTTTCTTATTCACCTATTGATTTACTTAGTTTTAAAAAATATATGTATGTATGTATATGTAATTCGCTTGAATTATTTATTAATTTTATCGGGGGCTACGCATGCAAGTCGTTATCGACTTCAACTTAGTAAATATTATTGAGTATTTCGAGCAATCAATTTCTTCGCATGTATTGTAGTATGTATATATATATTGCATGTGTGTATATGTGTGCATGTATGGTTGATTTGTTGTTGCTGTGCTGCTTAGAAAAATAAATCTATATGGTACATGTACAAATTACTTAAATTTACTTCTTTTTCAAGCCTTTGAGTTGATAAAGTTCGTATGTGTGCATGCATCTACATATATAAGTATGCATGTATGTATAGGTGTGCAAATTTTAATTTATATTAATCGTACATTTAATCCCATCACTCCGCTAAAATAAAAAGAATAACAGTTGCAGTGCATTTCAAAAATATTGAAATTATTTCACATAGTACATGTGTATGTTTGTAGGTGTGGGTAAATATGTTAGGGTGTCCGTTATTTCTCAATTTGATCATTTCTTTTGCGAAAGTCCTCTGCAGTTTGAATTTTTGTCTTAAAAAACAATCCAACGTTAAGAAACTCTTTATTTTCAGTTTAAATCGTGCCTAACTCATATTTCTTCTCCCATACATTTTACATCGGAGTTTTTTATGTTTTGCGTTAAATTTTATATCTTACAAGAAAATAAACATCCACTTTGAACATCTTCATATTCTAATACAAAATTTTCAGCTCTACAAAAAAGATCCTGGTAATTTTTTTCATAAACACTTTCCTTTAAAAGTTATATTCAGTTAAATTTATGCATCAAATGTATTGCATTCATACAGTACACCATGTTGTATGAGTAACACAGTATGTACCATATAAACCATTTGAATGAATGTTCACTACATTTGATGTATAACTTTTAAAGGATAGGCTTAATGGGACAAATTAGCGAGAATCTTTTTGTTGCGCGGAAAATTTGCACTAGAATATGTTTTTTTTTTAAGTTGTAGAGTTCGTTGCTTAATATCAAAATATCAAAAAGTCTCACATAAAACACATGGGAAGAGTAAAATGATTTAGGCACGGTTTAAGTTGAATCAAGTACTTAAGTATCTACATTGAATAATTTTTTTGAAACTGAGCATCAACTTGGGAAACAACGCACCGCCTTTTGAAAATATATTTATGCTTGTGAGTAGTGTTGTTCATACATTTAATTGCCCATTGCACATACAAATGCGAGTAACTATGCATTTATGTATAAATACTTAAACGTAGTTCTACTGCTTGCTGGCTGAAGTGCATTTATATTTCTGTGTGTGTGTAATTGTGTAAAAATACTTAGGATGTGCTATGAGTGTATGTAGTTTGTTTTAGTTTATGTATGTATGTTATGTATAATTTATTGCGAAGTATTTAATATTATTTTACTATTTGTTGTTGTTTATTTTTATTTGTAGAGATTTATTTTTTTTTGCTGTTAGTAATTGTAGTAAGTACTGGTAATTGTATAACTATGTCATTTCGTTTAGGTATAGCATGTATGTATATATAGGTTTGTATGTACGCTAATTATTTGCCACGATTTATATATGTATATATATATATAGTATATAGTATATATATATATATATATGTATATGTATATTGTATATGTTTGTATCAATTATGATATATATGATTGCATAGTATGTGTATATATATGTATATATATTGATTAAATACCATATCTATGTATGTATGCCTGTGTGTGTGCCTTAAATATGCACATAGACAACGGTACATTTCCTGCTATTTATTCATATAGATTCTCTATGGTTTAGCGAGCTGCTCTATATTTTACAGTTTAGGATATATACAGATACATATACGTATAGGTAGATATATTTGTAGATGTACTGATTTTGATAATTTTCTGTTTGTATGTATAGCGTATAGCGATATTTTTATTTTTATAAAAATTAAAATACACATAGTGTGTTGCACTAAGCAAAATATGCAAATTTAAAAATGACTAGTTAAGCGAATTTTTGCATAAAAAACGTGTTAATATTATTATATTTAAATTGGTTTTCAAAAATAAATAATTTCAAAAATCTAATAAAATAAAAAAAAATAAAATACACAAAATGTTAGTTTAAAAAATATATGACTCATATTAATAGAAATTTTGGAATTTTTTTTATAATTTTACCATTTTTTTTAAGTAGCAACACACTATATAGTATCTATGTATTATATATATAAAAAATTTTATAAGTTTATATTTTTGCTTATGTTGTTATTTTTTGTGATATTTTATTGAAATTTAGTTATTTAATGAAATTTCCAAACGACTTTAGTTAACCAATTAGGATTTGAAGAAGAAAAAAGTACAGTAGATTTTGATATGTATATAAGTGTGTGTGTTTTGATGTTGGTGAGTTCTTCGATGAATTATAAGTCAAAAGCTAAACTAGAAATTACTAAAAAAAAAGTTTATCAACATTTAAGCTTTTTTTAAAAGTCAAGGTATAATTTGGCATCATTTTTAAAACTTTTTCCAAACTATATATGTACTATATACTCGTAAATATTTGAAGCTAAAGTGCAAGACAAGCAAGTGTTATCAGTTTAATAAATAAAACTATAATTATTAAATGTGTGATTATCAAATTGAAAAAATGGCAGACGAATCCGTTAGTGAAACCGAAAAGTTTACACATTTTAGATTAAACTATTGTATATTATTTACATAATAACATATATAAAGAGATATAGAGAGCAACTGATCAGATATTTATTTCATGTTTATTCTGTAAAATTTTCTCGCGCCTATAAGTATGCCTTAAAATGCTTAACTAATATAAGGTGCTGGCGAAAATATAAAATTGTGGAACAAAAATATTGATGTACATATACATATGTATATATATTTCATGTTATAATAATGTATTAATGTATTTATAACAAATAATTGGAAAATTTCAGAAGAATCTCATGTTAAATCTCGCACAAAGAAAGAGAGGAAGAGTAACTGATCAGATATCTCTTAAACGTTTATTCTTTAAAATTACCACGCGCCTCTAAGTATGCTTAAAAAAATAATATGAACTTATCGAACAAAAATATTTCTTATACTAATGTATTAATATAAGTATTAATTATTAAATAAAATATTTAGAAAATTTTTAAATAATCTCTTCTTAAATCTCGAATATGGCTCCATATAAATAATATTCAAGTGCTTTTAAATTGTTGGCATATTTTTTCAGTTGTTTTGTAAACGAAAATGTTTTTTTGGGTGAAATACTCTCTATTTCTTTTTTAGAAAATAAATATGAAGAAAAACAAACTTCGATTTCGTTGTTTTAGTAACATCGGAATACACGGCAGTCGATAGATATTTTTTATATACGTTTTTAAATAAAATTTTGATTATAGCATTCGTTTTAAACTAGAGTTAAATAGAAAATAATATTTGTAAAAATTAGTTAAATGTTATATTTTATGTTCAAAAAGGCAGATTTTTAAATTTTTGTAGGGATGTTCTCTGCAATAAAAACTCAATGAAATGGCTCTATAAATTTATTTTAGTTTCTTGGCGTATTGAAAACTTTTTGTTGATAAATAAAATTAGTATTTATGAACTTTTCATCAGACTTCTCTGCAGGTATATATGGGTTTCAATGTATTTTTTCCGAATTTTCCTTTAGATGAACTTCCTTCACTCGGTGTGCAAAAATTGTTTTTGTATTTAATGTATGTAATTATGAAATGGCCCCTGAAAATCTCTTTGGTACGCTCTAATAAATCTTAACAACATATTGAAAATTTACAAATGCACTCTACATGCAGCTAGATGCAGTATATATATTATATGTATATATAGGTATATACACCTTTAATGCTTAAATAATTATATAATACGCACTTTATTAGCCTAAATTACTCTAATAAATAAATAATTAAAATATGTAACATTTGAGTATAAGTTAAAATTGTTTTTTTTTTAAAGCTAATTTGAAGTGAATTCAAAACGAGTATAATTGTCAACAAACTTGCCCTAGTGCCGCTGGTGCTTTTACCACCATTTTCACATACACATACATGTGTATATATGCATATATGTGTTTGTGTATCTGCGTATATTTGAAAGGCGCAAGTTGGGCTTGCATCGCGGCCATTCATTCACTAACTCCAACAACATGGTTACCTCTGCTAAGCACAGTTGACGCGTTAAGCTTCTGCCATACACGCTGACAGCCTTACATGAGTTGACATTTCTCCTTGGCACCGGCTGCTCCGTCGCCGTTTTCCGGTATAGCACCATTACTCTCTTTAACCTTCTTCTCCTTCTTCTGTTTCTTATGCTTTTTGACATCCAACTGCAGCGATACAATGCGTGATTTTTCCATGTTGAGCAGCTCCTATATAGTATGTATGTACAAACACACACACAATTACATATAGAGAAATACATGAAGAGTTTGGGTAAGTACACACGTGTCATAATGTCTTTCGACCAAATTAGCATAATTTCATTTTCAATATTGCCAAAACATACGCACGCAACTCTAAAAGCGCACACATACTCATACAAACATATGCGCATATATACAGACAATCGTGCAGGTGTGTGCCGGTGCTGCAGACACTTATTTCACATATTTCCACGCATTCATTTTGCCATTTGGCACTTACCTGAAATAATTCGGTGACGTTGTGATTGGTTTTGGCTGATGTCTCCATAAACGATATGCCCCAGGCGGTGGCCTGTGCCTGCCCCTCAGCTTGTGTTACCTCACGTAGCTCGGCGCTTTCATCGTTCTTATTTCCCACCAACATCACCGGTATATTGACTACGTCCGGCCCCTTTGCATGGGCAAAATGATTGAAATGACAAAATTTCAAGTTAGAGAAAATGACATTAGCTATTTGCATTACACACACACACACACGTATATATAAACATATATATATATACTTGTATATGTATGTATATAGTTTGCTCGACGCACTTAATTGAAGTAGAAATTATTGGCAATTACCTTAAGGTCTTTAATATTCTGCCAAATGGGTCGCAGCTCCTCTAAACTCTGCTTGGAGCACACCGAGTAGACCAATATGAACGCATGACCCTTGGTTATCGACAGTCTTTGCATAGCCGGAAATTGGTGTGAGCCTGTTGTGTCCGTTATTTGCAGTGTGCAAATATTTTTATTGCAGCTAATTACCTGATGGAAATGAGTTGTGAGCATGAGCGAAATGGTAATTGAGATTTTGTTATCTTTTTCAAAAGTAATTTAAGCTCAATATCTTAGCGCTATAATTGTAAAATGTCGCAGATGTGTATTTTATGAGAACTAATGCATTTTTAATTACATGCTGGTAATGAATCACAAATAAATATAATATACACATGCACCTACATACATACATATGTATATGGTACTCATTTTGCAGTATAAATGTCTGATATAATATAAATGGATGAGCATTAGCCATCCACCGGGAAGGTCATTTAAATGAGCTTTACAGCTATCCGAAAGGATGACTGAAGTGAATGCAATACACTTGAGTTCTTAATTTGCTCCATTGAGCACTTTTCATTGTTATTGTCTGACCTACAAGAGCGAATTGTGATTTATGTCACTCATACGCCACGGTGTCTGCGATATGCCTGAAAGTTACTATGGGATTACATACAGTTAGAATTTTCAAAAAATCGATTTATTTTTTAATTTTTATTTCTTAATGTATATACATATATCTAAGAATACACACAGTAAATTTCATATCGTTCCGGTGAATGTTTTCGAAGTTACACGCAAATTTAAAAAAGCGTTTCAGAGAGGCTAAACCGATTAGTCTCAAATTGTAACATGAGCTTCTTAAAATATATTTTTTATTATTTTCTGATAAATATTTTTATTCTTATAAACAGTTTAAGACCGAAATTTCGGTGAAAAATCGATTTTGCTTTTTTGAGAAACCGCCATTTTGTCAAAAAATTTTATTTTGCTTATTCCTTCGATTAATTACTTTAACGAACATTAATATTAATTTAACGAAATCAGTTTGGTTTTTTTAATTTCAGATGATCCAATTCAGAGATATAGTGGTCACCGCAAAACGTCTTTTTTGAGAGGAGCTTTCGGAGATCAGCTGTAGCTCTTATCCAAATAAATATTTTTACTCGTACTAAGTCTTAAAATATAGTTAAAAGATACCATAATATGTGTATGAATTTTTGGATCAATAAATTTAAAAGTTTTTTTAGAAAAAGTTTTCTGGAAAATTAATTTTTTTTCGGGCTTCATATCCCATAAGCCTAGCACAGTGAGCAAAACTTTTATTTAAGCAAGCCAAAATCAAGGCAAATTTGAAAGTCTTGTAATAGGTAGATGGGAGATACATAGGTGTCGTATTGACTCGATTTTATCCATTTTTAGCAGTACCTTTTACTATTAAAAGAATAAAATGCTCCCTGGATTTCATTAATGTACCTCACATACCATCATCAATATATATGGAGTAAATTCAGCAGAATGGTGGAAAATCCTGATATTAGTTATTTGTGGGCAAGGACAAAATTTCACCAGATTTTATCCAAGATGCACTATTATTGGAAAAACAAGCTCACTCAATTTTATTAAGATAACTTACGTATTGGCTGATATACGTGGTATAAAGTCAGCCGGAAGTTTGAAAGTCTTTATATTAGGTATATGGTGGCTTTGATGATTATGAACCCGATTCGACCCATTTTTGACATAAAGGCATACTATTATGAGAAAAGGATTCTCTCCAAATATCAATTATATATCTCACAGATTGACCGATGTTTTTGGTAAAAGTTTTCGAATTTGGTTATTGTAGCTTTAGTGGCTTAGGGGATATGCACATTAAACTGATTATATTAGCCGTCAAGAGACCCTTGCTGCTGGAATCCTCAAAACCAAATAACAATTTTCATGAATAGATGGACAGACACTTATCATCATTATAAAAAAAGAAAATTTAAAAAAAAGAAACCATTTTTTAACATCTAGAGGCGGCTCATTCACTTTTAAAGTAAATTTCAAGTTAAAATTTTTTTTCGGTTTAAACTTTTAACATTTATATAAAAATCACCGAATTCGACGGTTTTTCACTCAAAATTTATTTTAACGTTTAAGGAAAGTATGTTGTCGTTTAAGAGTTTTTTTTTAAAATTCCAATGATGACCACAAACATTTTTTTTTAAGTTGATAACTTTTAATTGGCCAGAAAGAGGTCTCTACACAGCTTCAAGAACACTTATCCAAAAATGTTTACGAAATAAAAGTTTTAACTCGAAATTTACTTTAAAAGGCTAGAGTTAAAAAAAAATTTTTTTCTCCCAAAATTATTATTTTTTTATAATCTACAAATTTTACCCTTAGGCTAAGCAAAAAAAAATGTTTCGCTCCACCCTAATATATATACCCTTATATCTATCTCGATTAGTTTTAGGCGATACTATTTTACTCCGTAACAACATGTTGCAAGAATACAAAAATCGTTACGAATTTATACCAGGGAATTACCTGTTTCCCGATGTTCCCGATGTTGAACGTAACTTTCCTACCTCTGTGAATATAGGTACTTATGTACAATTATAAACCAAGAACACTTATTTTAAAACTAATTAGTTTCCCATATTATTTTATTTCATTTCGCATGAGCAATCACTAGCTCTATATTTAGTTCCATTCGGTCACAAACCAAATTAGTTTCCTTTTAAACGTAATTACCATAATCAAACAAACAGTCACATTTCGCTTGAAATGATAATAATATACAAATTAAAAATAAATTTGTCCTTTATATAGAAAACGTAGAGTTCCAAAATATTTATGTTTGATAAAAGCCAACTCAACATGCGTAGGTGTACTTTATTTTGTTTACAGTAAATTAACTAATACCAACTGAAGTAGCGATGTGTCGCACACAAAATAAAATAACAAGAAAACACGTTAGCTTTGATGGCACCGAAGCTACAATAAAATATCGTTCACAAATAAAAAAATTTCCTCACAAGAACTTGATTTTGATTGATCAGTTTCTATGGCAGCTACAAGCAGTAGTAGTCCGATATAGGCCGTTCCGATAAATGTGCAGCTTTAGAACGCGTGCAATATTTCAGACCGATATTTCGAAACCTGAAGACTAGTTCATGCATATACAGATAGACGGACATGACTAAATCGACACAACTTATCACGCTGATCATATTTATATTATTTTATAAGGTCCGACATGCATATTCATGGCAAACTTAATATATCCTGTTCAGAGTATACATAATTAGTAAACAACCTTTAAGCCAAATAATGAAAATGCATGAAAAGATATATTTTTCAAAATTTTAGTTTTTACAAAATTCTTGATCGTTCATGTGTTCTTCAAATATTATTAAAATTAATTCAATGAAAAAAAAATTTAATTATATATGGTAATGGAATTGTAAGCTAAATACTTCCAGCTTTTTTTTTCGTAATTATTTATTTTGTTTATTATTTTTTAGCTATATGATTAATAATAATTTCTGATTGGATCAGTCGAGTTTTTAGCGAATGTAATCGTCGAAGATTTTATTTAATTGAATGTAAACCAATACTACTCTTTTACTGTCGGAGTCTGCATTGGATTGTCATTACATTTGGTTTACTTGGTGGCGCTGCCTTTGTGCCGCACAAAAGCTTCACCTACGCAGATCTATGAATTATGTGTTGACGAGTCTATTATGCGCATTTGCTTATCCGTTTGTGTAAAAATGTAGGTGTATTCATGTAAGTACAGTACAGCCATGATACAAGGAACTATGATTAAAAAATATATATTATATATTGAACGAAAATTGAGTGAGTTAATAGTAAAATAAGAACTAATTATCTAACATAAAGTCCCATAAAAATATCAGTCGCGTTTAGCTTTTAAAAAAGTATTCTTAACGACATGTTAAAATCATTTGCTTTTAGGTTAGGTTAGGTTAGTTTAAGGTTCTAGATCTTCTGTTTTGATTCCCCATAACATTTATTTGAAAAGCAAAGTGGAAACAATATTGGAACCAATTGCTCAAGGCAAAAATCCTTTCTATATTATCTCGATGCCGCTCGAGCGATAATTTGGTTGTGACTAATTAAGGCGCCCACTTGATTGATAATGTATTCTAAATAATTTTTAAATATTAAATATAATTATCTCAAAAATGAAAGGCGGTTGTTTTCCTATCCTGAACAATAAATATTAATTTTGAAGAAGTTTGTTAAACTCAGAAGGAAATTTCGGATACCCTATAAAATATATATTGTATATGTCTGCCCTCCGTCTGTCGGTATATACTCGAACTATTCTATTAGTTTTTGACTGCCATATATTATTTTACCACAATAATATTTTCGTAAATCTTAAGTTTCTTGCAAGAGTGTCTACTGTAATCATTTATATACATATATTTGGTGTGTGAAGATATTTCTTTCAGGCCGCGTGTAAACGCATGCATGATTACACCTATTAAAATGGTTTAAATTAAATTCTATGCGTGCACGGTGCGTCTATTGGCTTATTTATAACCGAGCAACTCGAAGCCAGGCTGACGTTTCCCCCTCAGTGGCACGCTGTATGTGTATGTATGTAAGTTAATACATATATAACTGTATACAGGCAAGCTTGTGCAATATTTCACCGTTAAAAAGATAATCGATTCGAATGTGACACGCTGCGTGTTTCATAGCTTTGCTTGTCGGTGTGCGAGTGTGTGTATGAGTAAATGGAAGTCAATCAGCAAAACAAAGAATTAAATAAACAACTTGTTGAAGTTCAGTGTTTTCCCTTAAGATTTTGTACACACACATCGATAGTTATATACTGATTTATATGGCAACGGTTTCTATTGACATGTAAATATGAATGGGTGAAGATCATTAAAAAATAAATTTAAGCAAAGCAATCTTGAGAAAGTCGCCGCCTTCAGTTAAAGTTTAGTTGAGCTTGATTAGGAAATTAAACAGTTGCAGCTGAATATAACAAAAAATAACGTTTTAGTGAAAATAAATTAAAAATTTTGTGGGTTGGCGAATTAAAACATTCATATTTTGTTTATTTTTAAAAGCAATTTTTTATTAAAGTTAATTTTGTTTACTAATGCATATAACTAATGAGCAATTCAGAAAAATTAATTCAAAATGGTCACTTTTCGCTTTCACACAAGCCTTGAAACGATACGGCCAGTCACCCCAAATTGTTATAAGGTACTTGATAGGCTATGTTCTTTAACTCTGACTACAAACCGAAGTCCAATAAATTTAAATCTGGACTTTCCGACGGCCAGTAATCTGCAGCTATCAAACCAGAAATATTACTTTAAAGCCACTCACCAGCTTTTAATAAAAATGAATAGGTGTAACGCCTTTACGAGAGGCTCCGCACCAAACCATTACAGCATGTGGATGCTGACCATGTTGAACGCTTTGAAAAACATTTTTTTTATCATTGAAAATTTTTGCGTAGGTTTTATCGTTTTGCTTATTAAAAACTCCTTTAATAGTTTATGGTAAATACGGCCATACTATGAGATTGATCAAGATAGCTGACACTATTAAGAAATCATAGGAACATCTTGGAAATCCAATTCATGAGTATTTGGGTATGTGAAAAGTCTTTACAAAGTGGATGTTGCGCTGGCACGCAACCGAAGCAATCTACCTTGATACACGGCAAATCTGTTTCAAATCGCCTCCACATCCTCCGTGTTACCGTGGTCTGACCACAACGACTCTTTCTTGTTCTTAGACTTCAATATAATGCTCGCTGAAAAGAAATTTAGCGAATTTGCAGAGACCACCGGCGATACTGAAGCCAATTATGAAGCAAAAGACCAATGGTTCAACTTTAAAGGTATCGAGAAGTATTACCTTCGAAAAGAGTATAATTTCGCCATAAAACAGAAGCTTGGAAATTGGGTGCCTTATGAATTAAAGCCAAGAGACGTCGAACCTCGATGCTGGAAATGTTGCTTCAACGCCACCAAAATAAGTCATTTTTGCATCGGATTGTCACTGGCGATGAAAAATGGATTCATTATGATAACCCAAAGCGCAAGAGATCGCATGTGAAGCCCGGCCAACCATCGACATCCACGGCAAAGCCAAATACCCATGATGCCAAGGCTATGTATTTGATGGGATCACAAGGGTGTGTTCTATTATGAGCTATAGAATGCGGACCGGAAAAATTACCAGAATATGCGACCAGACACGAATCAATAATTTTTCATCATGACAACGCTCGGCCACATGTTGCAAGGCCAGTTAAAAACTATTTGGCAAACTGTGGGTGGGAAATTCTACCTCGCCCGCCTTATAGCCCAGACATAGCACCTTCCGTTTACCACTTGTTCAGATCAATGCAGAATGCCTTCACCGGAGTACGTTTCACTTCAAAACAGGGTATCAAAAATTGGCTCGATTCTTTCTTGACCTCCAAACCGGAGAAGTTCTTTTGGGATGGGACCCAGAAACTGCCAGAAAGATGGGCAAACATCGTAGCTTCCGATAGGCAATACTTTGAACATTAAATATATAACATTTTTTTCACAATAAAGTCTTAATTTTCGAAAAAAAACCCGCACGAATTAATGCATACACCAATGTATGGTTTTTGAAAAACTCGAAGAATAAACCAGATCAATTCGTTCGTTAGTTGGACTTAAGAAAGAGCTTCAAAGAGAATATTTAATGCATTTGATAGAATCTATTATTTTGTGTTTGAAATATAACGCATTGTCTGGAATGAAGTCACATATTTGTAAAAAAAAATATGTTTTTCTTACTCACTATCCTTATAAATAAATGTTGTAGAAAGCACTCACCTGTCGATAAGTGTCCTCAATGGTCGGTATGTACGTTTCGCGGAAGGTGCCCCTAATAAAACGTAAGACCAGCGAGCTCTTACCCACACCACCGGCACCAAACACAACAACACGATAGTCATTGCTCTGTTCGGGCATGGCGCGGGTCACTTGGTTCTTTTGTTCCGTATTTTTGGGGGTTTCCTTTCCTTTATCGGCCATCGTGACAACTGATGATGTATTACAATTCGTTTAGCGATGCTATAGGCGTTGTACAACGGGGGTTTTGAAAAGCTTATGTGAAAGTAAAGCAAGTTTCGCCCACTTTTGCTTGCTTTCTTTCTGCTTTATAAAACACTGCTTTCTTTAATTAATTTACTTAAGCACTTTTTAATAAAATTATTTGCTATGTTTTTGATGTTGTTGCACACGTTTTAAATTTGGTCAATTCAACTGACGTTATTACGATTTGACATCACGCTTGCCATCTTTTGAATTCTATAAGAAAATTGCAATGAAAAAAAAAATATTATAATAAGTTTTTAAACACTTTGTTCACTTTTTACTTTTGTATGGAAGCTTAGTTTAATTTTTTTTGTTTTTTCATAACCTTCGTGAAATATTAATTAACATTTATCTACACGGAATGTGTTTACGATTATTTCGCCTCACACAAGCTAAATGATTACAGTTAACCGCTTACAATGGACACTTATACATTGCGTGTGATTGCCATGCGTTTTCGAAGAGTTCAGTCGTCTCACTAATTCACTTCTACACTTTGGATTCACGCAAATTGTCCACATGCAACTGGCGAAACATTGAAACTTACGTAAATACATACAAAATACGATATACATATACATAAAAGCGCTTATGCGTGTTTGTGTTTGTAAGCCAACACAGCCGGCTGACAGCTGTGGGGACTGAAGAGCCTGCGCTTCTGTGTTGCAGCACTTTCATGCAGATGCGTGTTCACTGAGAACATTCTGTGTGTGGGCAGCTACGTTTTGCCAACAACAACTGCGTCCGAAGCCTGCTAGTGTACAACAACACCGTTGTCGCTGATACTCGCTTGTGTCACACTGTCGCAGCATTCCATATGCCAGTTGCCAAACGCTCATGTATGGTCGTGCCGCAAACTGCTAATCATATCTCCAAGGGTTTGAATTTTGGTTTTGCATTTCATGTTCGGTTAGAAATCACAAATTAAGTTGTTTAGCTCGTGAGTGCTGTGGTACGACGCCCCTTCCGCTTTTACATAGTGGATTTATAGTCGTATACCATATATTCTATTAGACATACTGATCTACGGAAATATGTAATGTGGTTTTATAATGCATTTTTCGCACTGATTTCGCAGTTATTTTGCATCTCGAATAAAGTACTTAGAAATAATGACATACATATATTTAGTGCCTTACTTGAGTCTCAAATTTCGAGCTATTCGGTAAATGTCGGTTATAGGGGTAAATATTGGAGCAATAGCAATTAAGTAAAATCATAGATTTCTGGCAGCAGTTCGTCAACAATTTGCTCTTAATTTAATTATTAGCTCAAAAATATTTGAAATTTTTTCAAAATTAAATTTCGAACCAATGACAGAGGGAGTAGTGGTTGCGGCTGACCGAAGATATTTTTGTTTTACGTTATACGTTTTTTATACCCTGAACAGGGTATATTAAGTTTGCCACGAAGTTTGTAACACTTAGAAGGGAATGTCGGAGACCCTATAAAATATATGTGTATGTAAATGATCAGCATGAGGAGCTGTCTGTATATACGCGAACTGGTCTCTCAGTTTCTAAGATATCGATTTGTAATTTTGCACACATGCTTTTCTCCCCAAGAAGCTGCGCATTTGTCGGAATCGCCGATATTGAACCACTTTAGTATATAGCTGCCATACAAACAGAACGATCGCAACCAAGTGCTTGTAGGGAAAACTTATTCATCTTCAAAAAATTTGGTAAGGCTTATTGTCTATGGTAACAGTGCAATCTCCGAATTATTGTAAGAAATCTTTTGTAATTGTGAAATGTATTATAGTTTCGGTGCAATTGAACTTAACTTTTTTTTTAAATTAATATAAAGATACTTTCTTTTATTGTTATACTTATTAAGTCTAAACGTTTTTTAATTATTTATATATGTATATATTTTAATTTTTTTCATAATTTAATAATATTTTTTTATTTTTTTATATATTTTTTTTGTTGTATAACATGTGGTTATATATTATTAATTAAATTAATTAATTTAATTTATTAATACATTTTTTCCTTTATTCGAGTTAATTTTTTTTTATTTTTGTATATATGTATATTTTTTTAATTTCATGAATTATTTCGTCATAACTGTGTGTATATCTATTTCCTTTATTTAAATTTTTGTTTATTCTGATTATTTATTTTGCTTTCATTTATAGTTTTATTAATTACTAAAAATTTTGATTCTATTTTTTTGTAACTTTCATTTAAGTTTTTTAAAATAATTGTTTGATTATTAACTCGAGCTCAATTCTTCCGCCAAAATTGCTTGTCATCACATTTATTGTAAATACTGCTTTGCTGCTTCAGCTTCGCCTTACTCCTATAAGCTCACTGCGGCGACCACTTTATTGCACTGATTTCCCACGTAATGACAGCTGATAGCGGGTGTCTTTGCGTGGTGTTTGTGTTAGATAAATATTGTTGTTGTTGTTGTTATTGCAGTTGTAATGGTGATGGGCAGAGAATCCCACTTTATAGCATCTAATGCTTGGAAAAGTGGCATTAATCGTGGGTTAAGGTTGGCTCTTAACACACACACACACACACACAAAGCTCTCCATAATAATACGAATGCGCTTGAGTGTTAGTGTGTGTGCGTGTGTTTATTTTTCGTATGTATTTGTTGGGTGAGTGGGGTGTTGGTTGGCTTTGCCGAGAAACAAAGAAAGTAAATACTCAAATGATGGACAATTGTGGCAGGCCAGGCGGTAGCGGTGTGTTCGAAAGCGCTGGGGCAGCGGTTTAGAGAGTTACTGCTCAATTATGAGACTTAAGTAGGAGTATTAATTACACACGCAAATGCGTGGCCGTTGTTAATGAAAGAATGCACCTAGTAAATGTCACACTTCGCAGAGCGCAATCACCGGAACCACCCCTATAACTGAGCAACTATGTGGGTGTGTGTGTGTCGTACTGCCACGCGCTGTACCCTTGAAGTTGGTACCGCATCGAGAGTTGAAGGTGACAAAAGAATCCATGCCTAATGCACTTTTCTCTCATATTATGACCACCTTCTTGGCTTTTCAAGGTTTGTACACGGTTGCTGCACTCCAAAGCGGGTGTGTTTGTTTATGAGTCTGTAGAAGTATGCGTGTTGCTTTGTGGGTGTTTAGTGAATGACTTTTACTAGTAGAGAAAATTGAAATGAACCAATTACATTATAAATAATGTGTCGAAACCTTTGAATATGCTTTACGAATATATATATACTTATGAAAATGTATTAAATTAATATGCAAACTTGTTTATCACGCCGCAAATTAACAGCTTGAAGATTTCAGCTTTCAGCTGACGTATATACGCCTAAAAGTTGGCTCGATATATTTTTCTTTTGTCGATTTGTTCGCTTATTCGTTTATTCCGAGATTCACAACCGACACACGGCGAAAAATTCGTTGTTCACAATTCGTTTGGGCCACATTTTGGAGAAGTTAAACGATTCTACGTTGTCGGCGATTACGAGGAAGAAACAATTTCGTTGTTTTGTGTTTTTGATTTCGTTTGAAAAACAAAAATGTATGAAGTTAAAAACAATAGATTTTTAATTTCAACAACGACGATGAGAAAAAGTACAACACACACGATACGCGTACGAAACGGGAAGAAGCAGCAAGAAATTGCATTCTCTGTTTGACACATTTATTGGTTTGTTTTTAGGCGCAGAGTAAATGAAATATCCCATCTGTGTCAAAACTGTTATACATTGAGGGAACTTTATGGTTAGCATTGCCAGCTGCAAGTGTATGCTGTAAGAATAGAAAAAAATTGTTGAAAAATAGCAGTTAATACATGTGTTATAAAAAATAGACGTAACTCGTTGATACCCAAATTATGGTTTGTATTTGAGTATAAAAAATAGAAAAAAAACGAGAAAGAACGTTTACTTTTGCCACACCGAAGCTATAATACCCTTCACATGCTCATTTCTTATAGCATAAAAGATTATAAAAAGATCTTTATCTTGATTTTGATCGGTCAGTTTATATGGTAGCTATATGCTAAAGTCGTCCAATCTAAATAATTTGTTCGGAGATTATAACGTTGCCATGGAAGATAATCTATGTCAAATTTCGTAAAGATATCTTGTCAAATAAAAAAGTTTTCATACAAGAACTTAATTTCGATCGTTCAGTATTTGGGGCAGCTTTAGTTGCTTCAGTGGCCCAATATCGACGATTCCAACAAATTAGCAAATTCTTGGGGAGCAAAGGACGTGTACAAAATTTCAGATCAATCTCACAAAATATTCGCGTATAGAAACACGGATGTGTTTAAAACAGTATCAATGTTTCAAAAACATATCGAAGATATTACACAATTTTAGTAAATATAAACAAATGTTTCGGTTATTATTTTCTCAAAATTTTGTTACTATTTTCTTTAAATTATAGTTTGTAGTTCACAGTAAAGTAAATGTCTTATATAATATCTACTTTAAATATTATCAATAAAAAAAAAACACTTAGCTTAGAATTAGAAAAAAAAAACTTAATAATTTTGAAGCTTCAATTTCGGCACCACATTCATGCTGGTCAATTCTTGGAAGAGTAGCTTACACGCGTATGGCATGGAGATTTTCGACACATTCGCCGATGATTGACAGTAGTGGCACCACGAACAATATGCCAAACGGCCGCAAGTCTTGCAGACATCCACATCAAAGGCATCCGATGAAATCATTAAACGTTCCATAATCAACATACTGGCACCATATGAAATCAAGCAATCCCGCTCCATTTCACCTAAACGCAAACCACCTTCTCGACTGCGACCTTGTGTGGGTTGACGCGTTAGCACCGCCTTTGGACCGCGTGCACGCGCATGCATTTTATCTTGCACCATATGCTTCAGTTTCTGATAATACACTGGACCGGAGTAAATGTAAGCTTCCAATGATTCACCCGTTATGCCCGAGTAAAAGTAGTCTTTGCCCATATAATTGAAACCGTGCTTGAAGAGTTCATCTTGTATATCTTTGCACTTGGAACCACCGAATGCGGTGCCATAATGGAATTTGCCTTCTAATAAACCGGCTTTTCCACCCAACAATTCAAGCGATTTACCAACTGTCATACGACTTGGGAAACCATGTGGATTCATAATCATATCTGGACATATACCATAATCGTTGAATGGTAAGTCTTCTTGGTCAACAATTAAACCGGTAACGCCCTTCTGACCGTGACGCGAACTGAACTTGTCGCCGATTTCGGGACGCCGAGTTTGACGTAAAAGTATTTTGATAAGAAAGTCTTCTTCACCATTTGCCGATACCATTACTTTTTCGATATAACTAGGTTCTGGACCTTTATACGATATCGGCACTGCTGTATAGGGGATCTGCAAGTGCAGTTTTATATTTAACAAAAATAAAATGTAAGTAATTGGTTTAAAATAATTACTTGCGATGTTTGACCAGACTGCTCTATCGGATTAATGGACGTCACTGCCGGCATTTCCTTGTTAATCAAAATCTGTTTATTTACAACCATTTCGCCCGGTGCGACAATTCCGTCGGTATCTAGCGCATCATGTTTAAAAATAACTTTATTGGTGAGTGCGTCCTTTACAGGACCCATAATACGATCGTATGTCTGATTTGCATATCGTTTAACGGTACATTTTGAGTTCTTATAAATCAAACAGCGTCCATAACCGCGATCTATAGATGCTTTATTGAGAATGAGCGCATCTTCAATATCATACCCAGAGTAACTCATGACCGCCACGGTTGCATTCTGACCAGCTGGTAATTTATCGAATCCTGTCAATTCAATAGTTTTCGACTTAACCATAGGCGCTTGCGGATAAACTAGATTATACATTAATGTATCGATACGATTTTTCTGATTATAGCCAATTACTCCCATCGCCTGTTTACCCATAGCACATTGGTATGTGTTACGTGGACTCTGATTGTGATGTGGGTAGGGTACAAGTCCCGCACACACACCCAACAATGTAAATGGTTCTATTTCCAAATGTGTTGTAGCATCGGCGGTGATATCAGCTTCATTCCACGCAATAAATGAATCGTTTTCTTCATTCACATCAAGGTATTCCACTAAGCCATCGTGCAGGAAGTCTTCAAATTTGCGTACACCACGCTTCAGTTCTTCAATGTGACGCTGTTCCACAGCTAGTTTGCCATTAGTGACTATAATATATGGACGACAGAGTCGTCCGCCATCTGTATGTATGTACACACAACGCTGCGTATGCGATGTGTGTATGGATACGAATGGTCCAAGTCGGCCTTTACGACGCATCATTCGAAAAGCTTGTACCAGCCGTTTATAGCTTATTGTTATTCCAAGAATGTTACCTGTAATAATATAAACAAATATTATATTTATTTATCAAAATCAAAACAAAACAAAAAACAATTATTTGCTATTGTTATTTACCATTTATAAACACCAAGAACACTTTGGAGTTATTGATTACATCACCACCAATTAAGCGTATATCTTCTACACCGGCATTAAAAGCTAAACAGATAACTGGTCCTTCATCGACTTCTGTAGTTATGTGTGTCATTAACGCCAAATTCTTAACCAAACCACATGCTTCACCTTCTGGTGTATCGGAGGGACACAACATACCCCATTGACTTGGTTGTAGTGAACGCGGTCCAGAAACTTTACGCGTTTTCTCAAATTGTGAGTTGACACGTGTCATCATACCTAACGCCGAAATATAACTCAAACGTGATAGAACCTGTGTTACACCAGCGCGCTCCATTTTAAAACGTTTAATCGTCCAATTGCCGGATGAAATGGCCGATTCTAAGCCCACGGTTATTTGAGCAGCGCGCATATGTTTCACGACATCGAACTGAGCAGCCTTCACTTTGGGTATATTCTTGTCAGCGATCATTTTCAATTCCCAATTCATGCGCTTGAAGAGATCCTCGAACATGAGCGATATTAACGAACCCGCCAATTCTAAACGTTTATTACCATAGTAGTCACGATCGTCAAAGGCTGTTGGATCAAGTTCCGCGGTCATGACGCGTCGCACCATCAACGATACGTAAATCGATTTAATTTGAAAGTTGAAATTCTCAACTGGAACATGTGCAAGTATGGTAGTGGTAAGTAATTCTCGCGCTTCTTCTGCCGGTGTTTTATTCGCTGCACTTTGAAAACGTTTTACAACCAGCTTAGAACCTAAAAATGTAATTATAATTATATATATGGAAGTCGGTGTTTATTTTGTCTCTCATTTACCCATATACTCCAGTGCGCGCTGTTGTGTGAAAACTTTTAATTGAAATGCCTCCAAAAGCGATGGTGCAAATCGATTTTGAGCCTCAGTATCTGTGCCAATCAAACACATTATTTCTTGATCTGAAGTTACACCCATAGCCTTAAAGATTACCGCTATCGGTATGTCATCTGTCATGGAATTGTGTTTTAGATAGTATTTGCCATGCTTACTCAGTACCAAGGTACGCGATTTCTTTTCATGTGTAGACGATGTAACTTGACATTGTACCGTACCGTTAAATTCTTCAGTAATCATTTTATTCCATGATAACTGTTCCTGTATAAGAATAACCTTTTCTTGTCCACGTACCACAAAGTAACCGCCAGGATCAAGTGGACATTCATTCATTTTCGCTAGTTCAAATTCAGATTTTCCCGCTAACACACAATTCGAGGATCGCAACATCACCGGCATGCGACCGATTAAAAGATTATTTCTAATGATACGCTGTGCTCCACGTGTATATTCGATATCGACTGTAATAGGTGCCGAGTAAGTTGTATCACGCAATCGGCATTCATGTGGCGTAGTAGCTTTTGTAATATTGTAACCATCTTCAATATCAGGTGTGCCAACACGCACATCTAAATATTTTAGATAAAAAAGTGGGTCTGCATCACTAATTACCGTTTGATTGGCTTCAACTATCTTTTTAATATCCACATTAACAAAATGATTAAAGGAATCAATATGCTGTTTCACCAGGCCTTTCACCTGCAAAAATGCCGGTACTAATTTCCATTTTTCCTCTAATGGTTTAATGGGTTTGGACCACGCTTTAGGATCACTGTCCCATGATTTTTCTATACCGGTCTGATCACCCATCACAAATAATGAAATTTTAAAATTTAATTTTCTTCAGTATAAGTGTTTTTAATTAAATGTTATTGAAGGTAAATTTAATAAATGTTTATGTAGACGGTGGTAAACTGCCTGCACGCGGAATAATCCTACCATATGATTTCTAAGTGCTGCCACATCTATGAAAGACGTTGCCGTTTCGATTAATTTATAATAAAAAATTGAGATGCGCAAAATTCGCGAAGTCCTTAGTGTGTTTTTCAATGCACGCACGGGCATAGAATAGAATAGATAATGATTGAGGTATGCACCGCGACCTATGATCTATTGTGCTCAGGCACGGGAATGTAGTTAAAAAAAATCTACATATATCATAATCTACTATATATATCATATACGTTCTCTGTTCGTAATTTAACCAAAGTGTGAATTTTTAAGGAAACACAGAACGTAGACTTAAGTCACGTAAACGAACGTATCGTATCGTGTACGTTCTTTAGGGGAAATGTACTCATCTATCAAGCGTAAGCAAGATATGTAGTTTCAGCTTTCTGTAGATTCAACATAAATAAGAATTGTTGGCTTAAGTTTAAAGTTTATTTTATTTTACTCATTTGAAAAGAAACTGTTAAAATAAAAAATAGAGAGTCCTCCATTAAATTGAAAATATGTTAATAACGAATTACTATTGCATTTTAGTTTATTTCATCATATGGCAAGGTTGTATTAAGTTTGTTGAATGAAAACAAAGTCGAAGAATAGAAAAATAAAGAAAAGTAATCCACAGCAAATGTCAAAATTATTGCTAGGAGAAATAAAATTTTTCGCTTATATTTCAATCATAACTAAATGAAATTTGGCATTGCTTAAATTAATAAACTATTTTTCTTCCAAATTAAGTGCAACGATAACAGCAGTAAGTATATTACAGGATAAAGGATATGCAAATAGTAGTATAAGGAATCTGCGCTCATTATTTTAAATGACTATTTCCTTTTCACTACTTGTACATTGTGGAATAATTTTTGGTGTGAGTTGGTTGTTTACATAAACATATCTGGGTGTTTTTCTTTTCAGAAACCAGGCTAATAATATTGTTAGCTAGAAATAGCCATAAGAATTGCAAAATAGGAGGCCGTGTTGACATTATTATTATCATTCAAACACACTTATCAAAAACGCCGTAACTTCTCATTATCACACTCAAAACACGAAATACATCGTGGTCTCGCTCGTCTGGTTAATAAAGCTGAGTAAAACTGAGTAAACGGAGCGAGTGTCAAGAAAAAAACAGAAGGCACGACGTCAAGAGTCTACACCTCAACGCTTGAAATTAGGTTTTTTTCGCCCCAACAGTTCAGTTGTCGTCGCCACTTTGCTCGCGTTAAACGTGCCACTTCCAATTGTTACGGAAGCAGTCTGATAACTGCTGACCAAAAAAAGCTAAAAATATTACGCACGCAGCGAACGAAAGTTATTGCGTACCATATAATATTCTAAAATAGTATATATTTCTTTAAGAATATAATACATTATGTCCGACAAAATCAGCGTTTGCATTGTAGGCTCTGGAAATTGGTAAGTTTTATTGTGTTCTATACACCTATAACCAGGTGTGAGTTGTTACACAAGTGTGCAATAATCGTGTTGTATGATGTTCAGTAGCATGGCCAACGCGGAGCGGTTGGCGCGCAACTATAAAATGCACGCGATTATGTCGCACTGAACAATGCAACTCCCACGCATGGTACATAACTAGAAAATTTTAAGCACTATAACACTATAATATTATGTAACGTATATAATTTTACTTAATGTTTCAATTAAATAGGGGCTCTGCAATTGCCAAAATTGTGGGTGTAAACTGTGCTACCCTGCCACAATTCGAAAAATGTGTGACAATGTACGTTTATGAAGAGATGATCGACGGCAAAAAGCTGACTGAAATCATAAATACTACTCATGAAAATGTTAAATATTTGCCAGGACATAAGTTGCCAGAGAATGTGGTAAGTGTTAGGCTAATGTCTGCAGCGTGTGTAAAAATTATTATTTTAGTGTGTCTTTTCGGTTTTGTATGTATAAATAGTGTGATAACGTCAATTAATTGTAGGAAATTCACTGCTGATAACAAAATTAGACTAACACGTTGCCAAATGCTGGCAAATGACCTTAATATGATATATAAGAAACGTTTTTGTAAGAGGTTAATATGTTAGTCACTCTAAGTGCTCCTCATTGGATTTACCTTTCGTTCACTTATCAGTTGTGTGTGATAGATGCGTGATAAAGAATATCGTGTGCCCTTGCCATGGAACACGATTTCTCTCTTACCATAGCAGTGGAATGTTTGAAGGGTTTAGTAAAATAAATAGTGCGCACTACAAATTAAAGCAGAGGTCGATAGTTTGCCATACTGCAAGTGCTATATTATCATTAAATGATTGATAAGTCAGAATTCTTGTTAATCGTTATACTGGAAAAATTAATTGACCTATACCGATTAATGACAGAAATTAATTTGATGTGATATGGATTGCAGTTAACTTGCCTGCAATAAAATTTCCATTCCTGATGGTACATACATTCTAAAGGAATTGTACATACATATGCACATACATATGCATGTATGTACCTACTAATTTAATTTGTGCAAAATAAAATTTGCTCTGCCAACAGAATATAATAATTACATACATTAAGATTTAGTTCATTGCATCAGAAACAATATTAAAATATTTATGTAAATATATTTACACAGATAATTTATGTAATATGTTTATGTAATTAATTATAAAAATATAAACAATTCGCCTGTACTTTTAAAACACATATTTGCTTGAAGAGAAAATTTACGCTCTTTCGCTCTTCTTACTAAATGCCTACCTACATATATACATGTGTATGTATTCTATAAAGCAAATTTTATCTTTTTATTCTTTGCATGTATGAAGGAAAGTTTTAAAAATAATTTTTGAAACCTTTTCGAAAACTTACATGATCAACAATATTTTTAGTGCCACTGTAAGTATTTCTTTTAAGAATGTATTATCTAATCAGTCACTGACAATGAAATCTTTTCGCTTGTTGTTTTATTGAGTTTATTTTGGTTTCTCGTCTCAATGCCAAACTGCATAATCATTAGTGCATTGCGTTCTGGTGGCCAAGAGCATTCGGATAGTTGAGCAGCTGACATGCAACGATTGTCTCACAGTTGCAGTTCGGCTGCCACGCTACCGCAGAACATCTGTAATGATAAACGTCACATAAAAGAAAAACCTTGAAAAAATAATAATTTTCTTTCAATAATTTAAACATTCGTTTAAATGCTTGTTTATTTTTTTGAATCATTATTCAATTTAACATCCTAAGAAAGTTTTTATACATATGCACGTGTTGTTATATAAGTGTATATACATATGTGTATATATTTCACACTTGTGGTTTTGGTTTTAGTTAACATTTTTCATTCGTGTAGGTCAAGGCCGTGTGGCGCTTACATATATACATATGTACATATATTCCTCCCTTTCCTACACAACAGAAATTACGCAGCGCAAACAAACTATAGTAGCGTTTATTTGCAATTTTCTTTTTGACTTTTACTTTTGCTTTTACTTTTTCTTTACTCTTACTTTTGTGTTATTGTTTTGGTTTTTTTTCGTTTTTCGTATTACTTAAGTGGGTGGTGTCATGTGTGGGTCATGGTACATGTTGTTCAATGTAGTTGCTTGCAATTGATTTTCTCTAACGTTTTTTTTTTGCTATTTTGAATACCGTGCAAGTTGCAGGTTTCCGAAGGTTGTCGTTTGCCAATGTCATTGTTACGTGCATGTGTCTGAATAAGTGTCGATTTTATTCTATAGGAAGAGAACAAAGGAAAGTTTTTTTTTTATACCCTGAACAAAGTACAATATATTGGGTTTACCACGAAGTTTGTAATATATACAAGTATTTATATAAATGATCAGCGTCCTGTATATACGCGTACTAGACTCTCAGTTTATGAGATACCGATCTGAAATTTGGCACACATTCTTTTTTCTCCAAGTAGCTGCTCCATTAGTGAAAATCGGCGATATCGGATCACTATAGCATATAGTAGATGCCATACAAACTGATCAAACTCATGTCCTTGTATAAAAAATTTTTTTTTTATTTGAACGATCAAAATCATGTCTTTGTATAAAAAACATTTTTATTTGTCGAAAATCTGTAAGAAAATTAGCATAAGTTATTTTCCAAAACAATGACACAATATCCAAACAAATATTTCAGATCGGAGCATTATAGCATATAGCTGCCGTACAAACTGAATGATCAAAATCATGTACTTGTACAAAAATTTTTTTTTTTATTTGGCGAGCTTTATTCACGAAATTTGGCACGGATTTTTGTCCAAGACAATCTTTTGTATTTGTGAAGGGTATTCGGTTCAACCATTACCGTCTTTTCTTGTTTAATGTTGTAAATGTTCTTTTAAATTTTATGGAGAGTTGTATGGAATAAAAGCAAGAAACAACCTTACTCTTGATAACATTTTGTGGTACTAATAGAAATAATAAAATTTTAAACTATTATTACTATGAACCATACACTTACACTAGTGGTTTTTTTCTGCCAACTTTCTAAATGAATATACATATTTATTTACATACATACGCACACATGCACTAAAGATACTATGTAATCATATAAGAACCATTAAACTTAAACGTGTGACTATTTGTGTGCGCGGTGATAGTATTCTTCTATTTAACATAACTTGGGAGTGTGATAAGCAGAAAAAGGTTCAAACAATTACTCTGATAAGCAAGCGTGAACTTTGGCTAGTTGTGCACTGAGCTTTTGTTATTTTCCAACGATTCTTATTCGATTGGCAACAACAAACAATGGTTTGTTCGCGCTCAGAGGTTCATATGTATGTTAAATATAGAAAAACTTATACAAATAAGCATTAAAACAAAACAAAAAAACATACATTCGTATATGTGGGGTGTGTGTGTATGTACATATTTATGTGTGGACATTTTTTATGTCTTGTATTTTTGTAATTTATTTTGGCGTTAAGCCAAACGCAGCCTTATCTGTCGCAATAGCATTTTTAATATCACCTAAATCTACATATTTTTGTATAGATATATGCTACACATGAAGCAATAAACAAACAAATTATTTTTTATTCAATGCATTCAACAAAAGTTGATGAACTTCATTGTTTGATTGCCAAATTTATTTTTATATATCAACTTCTCTACTTTTCCTTACCCCCAAATCAATCGTTCGGTGGTCAGACATTTCAACATACAAACACATATGCGATATGCAAAAACAACCACAATATGCCACACTCTAGCCTACTCAAGGTCTGGCAGCAATTGAATTTCATGAATTGGGGCAAAAAATCGCATAATCAAAAAAAATCAAAATCAAAATTTCGAACTCTTAGAGCATTTATTAATAACTACAAATACTTAGCCGAAGAAGATAAAAGCAAAATATATTTGCCTCTAAATTGTCGACACTAATAAGTGGGTGTGCAACCATCCAATACTGCTACTAATTTGTACGTAACAAGTCATTGACTGACCGCTAGTTGATTGAACTCGTCTCAAATGCAATGCTAGTAATTGCTTTGTTGTGTTTTATCTACGTAATGTACACTCGCGCATCAAGTAGTTGCACTTACGACTTTTAATTTCGCATGACAAAATAAATAAAGGCTTCGTTGGCGTTTTTAGCCGCACTAACGCTTATTCAATATATTCTCTACATTTTATTTGTATGTTTTCTACATTTCTGGTTATTTGCATTTTTTTTTTGGCTTCTGTTTAGCATAATATGACACACACCTCTTTATTGCTAAGCGCGTTTCTATATATGTACATATATGGATAGTTGAATATGTTTGCATTTACTCATCGTTATGTATTAAACGCTCCCATTATAGGTGTTCTTGCTTCGATTTTTACTTTGTTTGTATTTCTCTTTTATTTTAGTTTTTTATACCTTGAAAAAGGTATATTCCGTTTGCTTCGAAGTTTGTCACACCCAGAAGGAAACGTCGGAGACCATATAAAGTATATATATAAATGATCACCGTGACGAGCTGAGTTGATTTAGCCATGTCCGTCTGTCTGTCCGTCCGTCCTTCTGTCCATCTGTATATACGCGAACTAGTCCCTCAGTTGTTGAGATATCGATCTGAAATTTTGAACACTTCTTTTTCTCCCCAAGAAGCTGCTAAGTTGTCGGAACGGCCGATATCGGACCACTATAGCATATAGCTGCCATACAAACTGAACAATCGGAATCAAGTGTTCGTATGGGAAACTCTTTGATTTGACGAGGTATCTTCACGAAATTTGGCACGGATTATTAGTTGAGGCAAAAATGTAATCTCCGAAGAAATTATTCAGATCGGATGACTATAGCATATAGCTGCCATACAAACTGAACAATCGGAGTAAAGTGCTTGCATGGAATTTTTTTTTATTTGACGAGGTATCTTCACGAAATTAGGCACGAGTTATTGCTTAAGGCAACAAATTATTCTCCACAGAAATTGGTCAGATCAGATCACTATATCATATAGCTGCCATACAAATTGAACGTTCGGAATCAAGTTCTTGTAAGGGGCCTTTGTATTTGTGAAGGGTATTATAGCTTCGGCGCAACCGAAGTTAATGTTTTTTCTTGTTTTTTTTTCTTTTGAGACCAAACAAGCGGTTTTTAATTTTCTGGCGCTTATTGCTTTTGTTTTCGCACTTTTTATGATATATATTTTTGTGGCTATACCTAGTTAGTATAAATTAGCGTTTTTTTAAAGATTATTTTCATTAATTTGGCATTTTCCAGGGGCATGGCAAAAAATATTTTTAAAATAATCGTTGTCTATGCAAATATATATATATATATATATATACGATAGTTGTTCGATCTCGTTTAAAATGAGTTTTATTTAATAATTGTTGTAAAATTACTAAAACTTGAATATTCAATAGTTAAT